GCCAAACTATTGGACTATGTGTTCCCCCAACCGTTGTGGAACCCCTTGGGGGAACACTCGGGAGAGGAACCGTTTGGAGCTTTTGCGCAGCACGGAGCGCGAGGAACAAAAATGAGGGAGGAGGGCAAGGCATCAACCAGCCGAACGGCTGGCTGACACCTGGCCTGTAGCCGCCGCTACATCGCGCTCCCCTCCAGCCGCTAAGCCCGTCTTCGGCGGACCTGCGTATCCGGGGAACTTGCTCTGCGCGACGCAGGCCCAATTCTCGCGACCCTTCTTGGAACGGTTGTAACGGCCAGTGGCAAGCTGGCAAGCTTGCCGTGCGAACGCAATGGTGGCAAGCATACACGCTGAACTAAAGAACGGAAAATCCACCCTCAAGCACCCCGACAAACGAAGCCGTTTAGTAAACGCACCCATGGAAGAAATCGAACAGGGCAGGGCTGTGTAGTAAACGCCCAAGGCTGTTTAGTAACCGCGAATTGTCGGGGTCGGGGTGGTTTTTCCACCCTTGATAAAATGGTCCCAGGAACCGAGACGATTGGTTTCACAAAGCATGAGACCCCAAACCCCCATGGGCTCTGGGACCGCAGCGACGACGCCTTGAGGCCACGTCGGGGCCGTGTCGGACCGACAATCCGACGCGCAAGAATCCAGGATATTGCCCTATATCGAGTTTCTCACGCCTGGAGCGCCGATCGCGCTTGCCGCGCTTGGAAATACAGTGAGCACTGGCGCGGGCACCTTGTCTCTCTTGGTTCCCATATGGGCTCTCTCAATGACCTCCAACTAGTTTTTGGTCTTGATGAGATCAGCGGCGGCGGCGCCGGGGAGAGCCCTTCGCGCGCGTCGCCTGACTAAGGCAAGGCAGCGGTGGTGTCCAGCGGATCCGTGGCAAGGGCCTCGCGCGCGAACCCGATCGACCGCTTTCGCTCGGTTGCCTCGCCAGCTGCAGCGTCCGCAGCAGCGTTGCCCGTGGCCAAAAAACGCTTCCTGCGCGGAAAGACGGGTCGCGCTCAACAACGACGTCGCCCTCCCCGCGGCGGGGCCGCGCGTCCCCATTCCGACCACCGCAAGCGCGAAACCTCACCCGCTCCCAGCCGACGAGAAGATGCCGATTGTCCGTGATAAAACGGATGGAGCCCTTGGAACCCTCGAGAACTAACGCGAAAACGGTGAGCTCTGATCTGGGGGCCGTCTACGCCGCCAGCAACCTCGAAACCTTGGCCGAACTGACGGTGGACGGCGGCGCTGGATCTGCACCTTCTGCGGCGAGGGTCAAAAGAGAAGCAGCCTCCCGACCGATCGCTGCACATGAACCTGATTATGCCTGGCACGCTGCAAGCTTCGAGGGGAAGCCCGTTGACCGAAACAGGAGAGGCGGCGCCCCCATCGCCAGGAACATTTCGGGTGGGTCTGTCCGGCAGGCGCACCTCCTCTAGCCGCAGGCCTGGAAAAACGTCGGCGCCAGTTGATGCTTGCGGGACCAACCAATCGCTCTTGGCGTCATCATTATGGCCTGTGTTGGCCTCGCGCAACCACGCTCGATGCATCATGGTTTCGGGGCACTTCTTGCAACGAGGACGCAGCTGATCCTGAGCAGCCCACGGGACACCTCGTGGCGCGGGGCCACCGGGGGCCCCCAACATCCGCCATCGTGAGGCCGCGTTTAATTACTGACTGAGCAGACCATTTTTTAAGAATTGAACGAAGCAGTTTGCGGCTGACGAGCAGGATATCGCCTCCATCATTCAAATCCCAGGCTGCTTCGTGCTGAGATGCCGCTCCCCAAGCTGCGGCCGAAGATCAAAACGCATCTTTTCCAAGAGCTCAAAATCGTCAAATGCGTGCAGATCAAAGCCTGGTCCAATAGAGATGGGCCCGCAACCTCTCCTTGCAGAAGCTCACGGTCGCCGAGGCGCCCCTCGGTTGCCCGGCGCCAGCCCGTGCTGGCAATTCCTCTCCGCGCCACTCGAGCGAAGCCTTCTTCTTCGAGATGGCACGGCCAACAGCGTTCACAGCGGGGCAGCCCCGCCACATGCATGCCCCAGCTGATCCCCCGCGCGAACGCGTCCAGGTGGCCCTGGGACTGCCGCGCCTTGCTGGTCTTCACCGCCAGCTTCCGGACGCGCCTCCTGTTCAGCTTCGGGGCCATGCTCAATGGGCGGGCCGCGGGCGGGCGCGATGGTGGATCGCGCTGCCGCGGATCTGCGAGCCACAGTGAGCAACTACGGAGGGGCGGGAACTCTGCGGGAGGAGCGGCAGCGCGGGTCATGCCACCAAGCGACGAACCCCCACCCCCCCCACCCCGTCCCCCCCGCGCCCCCGCGAGACGAAAGCGGCGTCCTGCGCGCGGGGGAGCGGCCCCGCGAAGCGGGGGCGGAATGCGCCGTGTGCGAAGCGCCCGGTGCCACGCGCGCCGCGTTCCTGCGGGCCTCTGACCCTGCGCAAGAGTGCCGCGTGCGCCAAGTGCGACAAGTGCGTCGGGCGCGTGACGTGTCAAGTGCGCCAGGTTCGGCAGGCGCACCACATGCGCCAAGTGCGCCTGGCGCGCCAGGCCGCGCAACAGAAGTGCCAAGTACGCAACGTGGTGCGCAGGGTGGCGCGCCCAGCGATCCAGTGCGGCGCGTCCCACGGGCGGGGGCGACAAAAGTGCCAAGTGCGTCAAACTTGACGAGGGCACCCCGCAGTTTCGCGTGCGCCAGATGTGCCAGGTGCGCAAAGTGAGACAGGCGGGCCACGGGCGCCGAATGCACGAAGTCGCCAGGTGGAACGGACGCGGGCACGGTGTCGCCGCGCGCGCGCCGATGGGGCTGCGGATTGACATGGCAAATGATGAAAAAACGGACATGCCTCCTCCTAGCGTTGCCCCCGATTCATCCCCTGGCCGTCTCCTGGCGGCCCAAAGAGCCCCCATGAGGGCGAATACATTAGGAGAAATTTGCCGCAACGATCTTTTCGCGGTGCCCGAAATGCATGATCAATCAGCGAGATCGGATCGGGTCGGAAAATGGTCCGGAGGGGCCTGCATCGGCACAGAGGCGAAATTGAATCGGTTCGGCCGCGCTAAGACGCACGACAACGCCATGCGCACGCTGGATTGTCCGCATCGGACCGTTCTGAATCGTATCGTATCGGGCCGGCGGCCAGCGCCGATATCGCATTGGATCGATCGGATCGAAGCGGGGCCTGAAGTGTGGGTCTGGAGCCTTGGGCCTCCGTCCTCGTCACCGCTGTGTTTTTTTCCCACAGGCTGTGTTTTTTTTTTTTGTGTGTGTGTGTGTGTTTTTCCCCACATGTGTGTGTGTGTGTGTGTGTGTGTTTTGTATGTTTTTTCCCACAGTGTGTTTTTTTCCCACCATGTTTCTTTTGTGTTTTTATCCTCGCCCCCCGCCCCCCTGTCCCCCCCCCTCTCTGCCGTTTCCTAGCGGGCCCACGACGCGAAGGCCGCGGGCGCGGCCTCGGGGCGGCGGCAGGAGACGAGGGCAATAGTTGTCCAGTCACCGTTCTCAAGCTGTTCGCGACTCTGGAATGATGCTTCCGTTGCTGCTAAGTCAATGTGTAAATGAGCTGCCCTAAATTTTGAGTTGAAGTCCACAAGCCAAACCGTTGCCAACAAAGAGATGCAGAGTGCGAGTAGTTTTTCGACCATCGCTTGAGCAACAGGGGGCAGGCGCAACCGCTCTCCCAGCGGAAACGTCCGAGTAGCAGTGTGTGTGTGTGTGTGTGTGTGTGTGTGTGTGTGTGTGTGTGTGTGTGTGTGGGAGCGGGGAGTGGTTCGGGAACGGGAGAAGGAAGGTAGAGTGGTCTAGGAGCGGGGGAGTGGTCCAGGAGCATGCGAAGCATGTGAAAGCCACGCAGTGGCATACACCAGATCAAGCAAGCTTGTCAGGGAACAGTGAGGTGACTTCGTCGCCGATGACTCGCTGCCTAGACGAAACGGCGTGGTGCGTAGGGTGCAGGCCCCAATCCACGGCCAACCCTGCCGAATCGACTAGCATGGGCAACTCGATTAGTTCCCCAGGGTGAACGGACACAAGACCCCATAGGATTTACGGACCACATGGCCCCACCTCTCAACCAAATGCGCATTCCCCTGCTCCTGGTCCCAAAGCCAATGCTGCGGGCGCAGCTAACGCCATAAGCAGGAAGGCGACAGACGTCAAACTGCGGGTGCAGAACATACAAAACTGGCCAGTTGCACCTCTCACTACAAGCATCCAAAATGCTTCTTGACAATGTGTCCTGAAGGTGGAGAAACGCCATGTATTAGGTTACGGCATTCAGCGCCCACGCAGGGCGAGGGAGAGTGGTCGGGGAGGGTGGGGGGGGGCAGGGGGAGGAAAGGCGAAGCGAGAGTGTTGAGCGATCCGGGAGGGGCGGGGTGGACGGAGAGGGGGAGGGCTGCGTGGGACATCGCTCATTCGGGCCCTCTTGGAACCTTCCTGGTGCCCTCTCGGGGCCATCTCGGGCCTTCCTGAACCCCTCCTTGGAGCTCGTTCGGCACCATGGAGCCTCGTGCACGCGTTCCTTAGAACGCACAGCCCGAATCCAAACATGTTGACGTCTTCCTTCTCCTTCCGCCGCCTGCCGCCGACCTCTGGCTGGCTTCCGTCGGCGGACCCGCCGCCGCTGTACTTCCGCCGCCTTCCGCTGAGGGCGAGGACGCCCCGACGGCGAGGCCAGCTCTGAGAGGCGCCACATGCGTGGCGAGAGAGGGGAACTGACCCCGCGGTCCCTGCCCCCCCCCACCTCTCAGGGACGACGGCGCCCAGACTTCTGGCCCGCCCGCCTGCTCCAGGGCCGCGGGCCTCTTCCAGGGGTCCGTGCCGGGCCCGCTGGCTTCCGTCGCCGCCCTCGGCTCGGCCGCCCGCGCCGCTGCTGGCCGCGGCAACGGCGACAGCGCCACGCCCTCCTCGGCAGGCTCGCGCGGCGCCCGGACCTCTGGCTGGCCCGCCTGCTCGAGGGGCGCGGGCCTCTCCGAGGGGCCTGTGCCACTGTTAGCCTCCGCCGCCGCCATCAGCTCTGCCGCCAGCACCGCTGCCGGCAGCGCCGCTGCCGGCGACACCGGCACGTCCGACGCGGGCTCGTCGTCCTCGGCAGGCCAGCGCTCCACCAAGATGGTCTCGACCACGTCGTCGATGAGTGCAGCCCTCACGGCCGGCGCGCCCTGCGGGCACCGCCCGGCCGTGGAGGTGGGGCGGACGGTGCAGTCCGGCAGCCGCGGCTCCCGACGCTGCTGCTGCTGCTGCTGCTGCTGCTGCTGCTGCTGCTGCTGCTGCTGGGGGCGCGGCTGCTGCTGCACCTGCCGCGGCTGCCCATCCCCCTCCCCGCTCTCCCCCGCCCTCCCAGGATGGCATGGAGGAGGACCGCCTCTCCCCACCCACACGAGGCCAGGGCTCCTGATCAGGGGAGAAAGCGATCCCTGGACCTCTCCTAGGGTGCGTCCTGGCCAGAATTTCGAGGCGGACCCAGCCGTGGCCGCGAGGGCGCCCCAGGACGATGAAAAACTCAGAAAGCGAACGTCGATCCTCGATCCTCAGAGCCTCCCCCCCCCAGCTTTGCCTCCAGGGCTTCGCTGCAAGGCCGGCTTGCTTTTGGCAATGCGGGGCCCCAAGGAGCCCAGACCCTTTCCCAGGGCCGGCTTTTCATCCCAAGTCCTCTTTTGACGGTGCTGGGGCCCAAGGCCCCCAGAGGCCAAACACGGCGCAGTACCTCTGGTCTTGACACCGTTTTAGCTCCTTGAAGGTCTGGAGGGCGAGGGGGGGTGGGGGGGGCAAGCTCGCCATCGCTCGGACGTTCCTTCCTCGTGCATCTTTCCATTGCGTCGGCCAGGGGTGTCCCTAACTGGGTTGAACCGAAAAGCCCGAAAAGCCATAAAATATCCTGGCAAAGCAACCTAACAGCGATGTGTAGGAGCATATCTGGAAGCATTCCCAAGCATTCCCCTTAAGATTCAGATGAGAATCCAGTTGTAGAATTCTGCTGTTCTCGCAGTCGCAGTCGCATTCGCGATGACAGTCGAAGTGGCAACGGCAGTCGCAGTCACAGCCTCAGCCTGCCTCAGCATCAGCCTCAGCCTCAGCCTGCCTCAGCCTCAGCCTCAGCCTCAGCCTCAGCCTCAGCCTGCCTCAGCCTCAGCCTCAGCCTGCCTCAGCCTCAGCCTCAGCCTGCCTTCAGCCTCAGCCTCAGCCTCAGCCTCTGCCTCAGCCTCAGCCTCAGCCTCAGCCTCAGCCTCAGCCTCAGCCTCAGCCTCAGCCTCAGCCTCAGCCTGCTTCAGCCTCAGCCTCAGTCTGCCTTCAGCCTCGGCCTCAGCCTCAGCCTGCCTCAGCCTCAGCCTGCATCAGCTCAGCCTCAGCCTCAGCCTCAGCCTGCCTCAGCATCAGCCTGCCTCAGCCTCAGCCTCAGCCTGCCTCAGCCTCAGCCTCAGCCTGCTTCAGCCTCAGCCTCAGTCTGCCTTCAGCCTCGCCTCAGCCTCAGCCTGCCTCAGCCTCAGCCTGCCTCAGCCTCAGCCTCAGCCCTCAGCCTCAGCCTCAGCCTCAGCCTCAGCCTGCTCAGCCTCAGCCTCAGTCTGCCTCAGCCTCAGCCTCAGCCTCCTCAGCCTCAGCCTCAGCCTCAGCCTCAGCCTCAGCCTCAGCCTGCCTCAGCAGCCTCAGCCTCAGCCTCAGCCTCAGCCTGCCTCAGCCTCAGCCTCAGCCTCAGCATCAGCCTCAGCCTCAGCCTCAGCCTGCCTCAGCCGCCTCAGCCTCAGCCTCAGCCTGCCTCAGCCTGCCTCAGCCTCAGCCTCAGCCTCAGCCTCAGCCTCAGCCTCAGCCTGCCTCAGCCTCAGCCTGCCTCAGCCTCAGCCTCAGCCTCAGCCTCAGCCTGCCTCAGCCTCAGCCTCAGCCTGCTTCAGCCTCAGCCTCAGTCTGCCTCAGCCTCGCCTCAGCCTCAGCCTCAGCCAGCCTGCCTCAGCCTCAGCCTCAGCCTCAGCCTCAGCCCTCAGCCTCAGCCTGCCTCAGCCTCAGCCTCAGCCTGCTCAGCCTCAGCCTCAGCCTCAGCCTGCCTCAGCATCAGCCTGCCTCAGCCTCAGCCTCAGCCTGCCTCAGCCTCAGCCTCAGCCTGCTTCAGCCTCCTCAGTCTGCCTTCAGCCTCGGCCTCAGCCTCAGCCTGCCTCAGCCTCAGCCTGCATCAGCCTCAGCCTCAGCCTCAGCCTGCCTCAGCATCAGCCTGCCTCAGCCTCAGCCTCAGCCTCAGCCTCAGCCTCCTGCCTCAGCCTCAGCCTCAGCCTCAGCCTCAGCCTCAGCCTCAGCCTCAGCCTCTGCTTCAGCCTCAGCCTTCAGCCTCCTCAGCCCTCAGCCTCAGCCTGCATCAGCCTCAGCCTCAGCCTCAGCCTCAGCCTCAGCCTCAGCCTGCCTCAGCCTCAGCCTCAGTCTGCTTCAGCCTCAGCCTCAGTCTGCCTTCAGCCTCGGCCTCCAGCCTGCCTCAGCCTCAGCCTGCTCAGCCTCAGCCTCAGCCTGCCTCAGCATTCAAAATGTGGCCGGGAATAAAGTTCTGGGAACTCGAAGAACACGAAGTGGCCTACAGTTGGCTCATTCAAAATGTGGCCCGGGAATGGAGTTCTTCGAAGAGCACGAAGTGGCCTACAGTTGGCTCCGGGCATCCAAAATGTGGCCCGGGAATGGAGTTCTGGGAACTCGAAGAGCACGAAGTGGCCTACAGTTGGCTCCGGGCATCCAAAATGTGGCCCGGGAATGGAGTTCTGGGAAGTCGAAGAGCACGAAGTGGCCTACAATTGGCTCCGGGCATTCAAAATGTGGCCCGGGAATGGAGTTCTAGCAGCGCCAAGAGCGATTTTGCGAGGATGTCCCAGGCGATTTGGGCTTCGACGGCACCCCCCTGAGGAGTCATGACGCTCTCTTTTGACCCTACTAGAAACCTATCAGTCTTCGCTGTTGGGTAAAAATCCCGGGTTGACCCGAAAAGCCCGAAAAGCCTGAAATGCCGAAACATCCTCGCAACTCGAACGTCGCCGCTCGAGACATCCTCGCAGCTCTGGCCAGGGTAGCCTGAGTAGCCCAAACAGCCCGAATGGGCGCCCAGGTCACCAGAAAAGCTCGAAAAGCCTGAAAAGCCAGAAAACGTTCCGGGTTGACCCGAAAAGCTAGAAAAGCCTGAAAAGCCTGAAAAGCCCGAAATACCGAAGCATCCTCGCAACTCGAAGGCGCCGCTCGAGGCATCCTCGCAGCTCTGGCCAGGGTACCCCGAGTAGCTGGGTCACCAGAAAAACCCGAAAAGCCCGGCAAAGCCCGAAAAACCCGAAGGGCTTTTCTGGCTTTTCGGGCTAATCCAATTGACCCGAAAAGCTCGAAACGCCCGAAACGCCTGAGAAGCCTGAAAAGCCAGAAAAACTGGAAAAAACCCGAAAAGCCCACCGCTCGAAACATCCTCGCAACTCTAGCCAGCGTAGCCCGAAAAGCCCGAAAAGCCAAAAGCCTGAAAAGCCCACCGCTCGAAACATCCTCGCAACTCTAGCCAGCGTAGCCCGAAAAGCCAGAAAAGCCAGAAAAGCTAGAGAAGCCAGAAAAACGAGAAAAGCCCGAAAAGCCTGAAAAGCCCACCGCTCGAAACATCCTCGCAACTCTGGCCAGCGTAGCCCGAAAAACCGGAAAAACCAGACAAACCCGAAAAGCCCGAAAAGTCAGAAAAGCTCATCGCTCGAGACATCCTCGCAACTCTGGCCAGCGTAGCCCGAAAAGCACGAAAAACCCGAAAAGCCCGGAAACTCGAAACATCCTCGCAACTCTGGCCAGCGTAGCCCGAAAAGCCAGAAAACCCAGAACAGCCCACCGCCCGAGACATCCTCGCCGCTCTGGCGACGCACCTCGAGACATCCTCGCAACTCTGGCCGGCGTAGTCCGAAAAGCCTGAAAAGCTCCAAAAGCCCACCGCTCGAGACATCCTCGCAACTCTGGCGCCGCCGCTCGAGACATCCTCGCAACTCTGGCCGGCGTACCTCGAAAAGCCCGAAAAGCCTGAAAAGCCAGAAAAGTTCACCGCTCGAGACATCCTCGCAACTCTGGCGCCGCCGCTCGAGACATCCTCGCAACTCTGGCATTTCGGCTTTTCGTTTTTTTCTGGCGTTTCGGGCTTTTCGGGCTTTTCGGGTCAACCCACTTTTCGGGCACCCCTGGCCGACGCAATGCATCCTTTGGCTTCGTGCATGCATTTTCTAGCAAGGGAGAGGAGGAGGGCTGCGCTGCAGAGGTCCCGGGCCTCGTGGTGCTGCTGGAGCGGTGGCTGCCAGGTGTCCCGCGCTGCCCAGTCCTGCGCGGCCACGGCGTGCTGCTCCCAGCGGTGGTTGGGCTCCAAGCGCTGGGGTTCGCCAGGCTTCTTGGCGGCTGCCGCCACGCCTGGGGCGACACCCCCGTCCGCCTCCCGCTGGCCCAACCCCAGATCTCCGACGACATGATTTGTTCAGTCTGGGCGTTTCTCCAGGAGGAGGAGGAGGAGGAGGAGGAGGAGGAGGAGGAGGAGGAGGAGGAGGAGGAGGAGGAGGAGTCGACTTCGGCCTCTGGGGCCCGTTCGTAGGCCCTGGGGCAGTCGAGCATGGATCCGGGGCGCAAAAGCACCCCTGTGGAGGCCGTCGGGCCCTCTGAGGCCGGCCGCGCGTCGAAGAAATCAGGTCGTCGGACAGCTGGGACTGGCGCTGTGGCTGCAGGTGCTGCTCCGCTGCAGGTGGTGCCGCGTCGCTCGGGGTGGGCTCCTCGGCTTCCCCAGGCGGCACCCTCCGCTCTGCGGGGCCGTGGTCGTCTGGGCACTGCTGGGGTGCGGCCACGATCGTGGTCCCCGAGCTGCTCGGCCAATGCCGGGCCGCCGCTGCTGCCTGCCACTGCAACTGCTGATGCTGCTGGTGCTCCAAGCCGTGGCTGCGTAGCGAGGTGGTAGCTGTCGTGGCTTCCATGCTGCGCGGCGTTGAGCTGCCTTTCACAACCGCGTCCTCGGGGATGATCGTTACGTCTGTCCAACTTCTCCTCATCGATGCATCTGACAATCGGCCGTGAACCAGCGAGCCAGTCGAGATTCGACGGCGAAACCTTCCTGACGCTGGGCTGAGTTCCATCGGGCTCGTGGGAGCGCTCTGGTGCAGCTGCCTCGGTAGAGGAGGACGAGGCCGAGGCGGATTACAAGGAACAAATATAATAAAGACCAAGATGGTGAAACTTTGGACGGATATCATGCATGCCGCTCTTCCGTACTCGTCTCTTTCTGGTGCCATCAGACAATGCCAGACGCGCAGTCCAGGACTTCATTTGCCGAAACGCATCAGACTCTACCCCAAATTCTCGCTCGAAGATTTTCAGCCAGCCCCAACAGCACCCAGATCTCCTCCGGAACAGGCCAACGGGAGGCCGAAGAGAGCGGCCTCAGTCGGATTCGGCAGCGGGGGCGAGCACGAGGAGCGCACCACAGCAGGGGCCGCCGCCGCCATCGTCGTTGAGCTCGTCGAGGTCATCCTCGCCGCCGCCGCCGAGCTCATCAAGGTCGCCACCGCCGCCGCCGAGGGAGCGTGGAGGGAGATTGGAGGGGCGTCGAAGGGAGGGGGGGGGGAGAGGCGGAGAGGGAGGATCATGCACGGATGCCTCAGGAATCGTTCCGCTGATGCCGCGTTTCCGGTGTGAGCTCGAACCCCGCCTGCAGCCCGAGGCCGCAGCACCGCGCTACAGGGGCCACATGCTCTGACGGCGCGGTCTGCACGATCTGAGCGGCTCTGTCCTCGCCATCGCTCCGCTCCTTCCTTCTGCATCGTTCCCTCATTTGCTTCGGCGCGCCCCGTCGGACTGGAGGAGGAGGAGGAGGAGGAGGAGGAGGAGGAGGAGGAGGAGGAGGAGGAGGAGGAGGAGGAGGAGGAGGAGGAGGAGGAGGAGGAGGAGGAGGAGGAGGAGGAGGATGGGGGAGGAGGAGGAGGATGGGGGAGGAGGAGGAGGAGGAGGAGGAGGAGGAGGAGGAGGAGGAGGAGGAGGAGGAGGCCCCCTTGCCCCTCCCTCCGCGGCCGTTCCCCACCCCACTCCTCGGGCTCCCCTGCGCACCACTCGCTTCGCTGTGGCCCGGCGCTTGCTACGACCGGCTCGCGCGTCCGCCGAGTCCGCGACAGACAACTTCTGGTGACGAGATGGCCCCAACAAGCATGGGAGGGTGACCCTTTCGATTCGTCCGCGCTGTTTTGATGAAGATGGACGCCGAGATCACCGAGGTGATGATTAGAACAATGGCGACAGTGATGAGGACGGCGACGGCTGACGATTAAGGCAACGACGACGACGGCGGCGACCGCGCTGGGGAGGCAGCGACGGCGACAACAGCGGCAACGGCGACGAAGACGGCGGCGACCGCGGCGACGACGCGGCGACGGCGACGGCGACGGCGGCGGCGACGCCCTAGATGACTCTAGAAGGCTGCCGAAGGTGCAATTTTTTTGGACGCACTTCGAGGTCACCGCGGTGATGGTGAGTCTGTCATCGGCAATGGCGAGGCCGACGATGACGGCGACGGCTGAGGACGAGAGCAACGGCGACGATGGCGACGACGGCGGCGATGGCGACGGCGACGGTGGCGACCGCAGCGGCCGTAACGGCTAGTTGGCGACGGCGGCGACGTCAACGGTGGATATGACGACAAGGGCAGTGGCGATGACGTGACGACGCTCGACAATATTCTGAGCGTCGAGGGAATCTCAAAGGTTCTAAGCGCTGCGAGAAGAGTCCAGAAGAGGTTTGCTCTCGAAGCCCGAGGGTGTCGAAGGAAGGCAAAATGTCGCAGAAAGGAAAGTAAGAACCCTACCGTGGCGTATCCTAGCCCTAGGTGCACTCGCGCCGTATCTGACGGGCTACCCCTTCCACCCATCCCTTCACATTGTGCTGAATTAGGCTCTGTCCGCCGACTGGGGTGTCCTGTGGAACCTTCATTCTCCCAAGCGGCCCCATTGTGTGATTCGCAAATTCGTGAGGGGGGATTCGTACATAGGAAGAGAAAGAGGAGGACGACGAGGAGGTGGAGGATGTGTGCGGATGAGCAGGAGGACGAGGCGGATGATGAGGACGGAGGTGGAGCAGCAGGAGCATGAGGCAAGAGGATCAGGGGACGGCGGAAGAAGGGACAGGAGGGGAACGGCAACGACGAGGAAGGACTCGGATCAAGAAACGTTGCCTGCGCTGGGGCGAGAGCGCCTTTCTGAAGGATGGGCGCATAGCGCCGATTCTGAAACGTGGTCAACGCTGTAGCGGGAAAACCTCCTTTCAAGGACGGAGTACTTTTCGATCGACCGAAACAACACATTTAAACACACCTTCTGTGTAAAAGTCAGAACGCGGACGAGTTGGGAGCAGGCTGGCGCAAAATCCAAGGAAAGAGGGTAGCACATTCCCCAAACAGTGCTTGCACTCAAAGGTTCTGACTTCTTTTCGAAGGGGCCTGGCGGCCGGTCTGGCGGCCTTGTCGCCGCCGTCGCCGCTAGTCGTCTGGGCCTGACGGCCAGTCTGGCGCCCATGTCGCCGCCATCGCCGCCCCGTCGCCGCCTCGTCGCCGCCCGTCGTCTGGGCCTGTCTGGAGCTCTGGCCGCCATGTCGCCGCCGTCGCCGCCGCCCCGCCCTAGATTCTCCTTTCTGAAAGACTAATAGATTCTACCCCCCCCCCCCCGGACTTATCGGTTACCCCGCGCGTGCTGTAAATTACATATGATTCTGACCACATGTCCATCCTAAATATGAATTCATACCATCCCAGCCAGGCCGGGTTCCCCCCCCCTGCGGTTCCCTTGTAAAAAACACTATGCGGTGACATTTTTTGTTATAACATAGCACTTTTTCGTGAATCCCTTGCAACAATGGGACGAAGTGCACACGCGCGCGTCGTCGCGCGCGCATGCCGAAATCCTTCAAAAACCTTCGGTGCCGGAAGGATTTCGCAATCGAGTTTCCGAAAAACATACAACAACACATGGTTTCGCAACACTGATTTGCTAAAAAAACTTCCGCGTGAGGTCTTGCGAAATCTTAAGAAAACCATAGGTTTTCCAAGATTTTCACAAAATGCTACCAAACGGGCTTCGCGCGCGCGCATGTCGAAATCGGTCGAACGCCCTTGCGCGTGTGCCGTCGCGAGAATCCTCTGCAAAAAATGGGACGAAGTGCAGACGCGCGCGTCGTTGCGGGCGTATGCCGAAATCCTTCAAAAACCATCGGTTTCAGAAGGATTTCAAAATCGTGCGTCCAAAAAACCTACAAGAACCCAAGGTTTCGCAACACGGATTTTCAACAAAAGCGTGCGCGCGCGCTCTTGCGTCGTCGTCGTCGTCGTCCTCCCTCCTCCTTCGTCGTCGTCGTCGTCGCCGCCGTCGTCGTCTTCTGTCTTTCCTCGTCGTCGTTGTCGTCGTCTTGGCGTCGTCGTCGTTTCCGTCGTCGTTGTCGCCGTGGTCGTCCTTCCTCCCTCGTTGTCTTCGTCGGCGTCTCGTCGTTGTCCCTCCTATTTCGTCGCGTCGTCGTCGTCGTCGTCGTCGTGGTCTTCACTCCTCCCTCGTCGTTATCCTCCTCCCTCGTCGTCGTCGTCCGTCGTCGGCGTCTCGTCGTCGTCCTTTCATTTCGTCGCCGTCGTCGTCGTCTTCGTCGTCGTTGTCATCGTCGTCGTCTTCCCTCCTCCCTCGTCGTTGTCGTCGTCGGCGTCGCCGTCCTTCCTCCTTCTTCGTCGTTGGCGTCGTCGCCGTCTTCCCTCCTCCATCGTCGTTGTCGTCGTTGTCGCCGTCGTCGTTTTTTCTCCTCCCTCGTCGTCGTCTCCGTTGGCGACGTCGTCGTCGTCTTCGTCGTCGTCGTCGGCGTCGTTGTCGTCGTCGTCGGTGTCGTCGTCGTTGTCGCCGTCGAAAACATTGGAGACGTCGTCGGTGTCGTCGCAGTCGCTGTCGGCGGCGCCGTCGTCGTCGATGTCGCTGTGGTCGTCGGCATCGGTGTCGTGGCCAATTGCCATGTGGTACCTACCGTCACGGTCTTGTCTGAAGAGGTCTTGCGACCAAGTTGCGGGTGGGAGGGTGGGATGTTTGCACAAGCAGTGGAGAGGACAGCTTCAAGACGGTCAAGATTAATTGCAAAACGTAGATTCTCGTTTCTTACAATGAATTAACTTCACCCCCCAAGATTATTCGCCCCCCTTTTCCGTATAACAGTTGATTCCGCCCCATCGTCCATCCTAAACATGAATTCGTACCATCACAAGCAGCCGGTATCGTCATACCCTGTCATCCTCTGCAACAAATCGTATGCGCGCGCACACGTTTGCACACCATCATCATTTTCAATAACCCCATGTAAACAGATGCGACGAAGTGCGTACGCGCGCGTCGTCGCGCGCATGCCGGAATCCTTCAAAAACTTTTGGTCTTGCAAACGGTTCCAAACCGAATGCCAAAACCACAAATAACAACACATGTGTTCGCAACAACAATTTTCAAAAAAGCTTGCGCGCGCGCTCTTGCACTCGTTTTGAAGCCATATTTTTCAACTGGCTCAGACACTGCTACCGTGCGGGCTTCATGCGCGCATGTCGAAATCGTTCGGACGCCCTTGCGCGCGTGCTGTCGCAAGAATCATTTGCAACATATGAGACGAAGTGCACACGCGCGCGTCGTCGCGCGCACATGCCAAAATCGTTCGGAAAGTTCCGGTTTTGCACGGGGTTCAAAACCGAGTGTCTTGAAATCAAATAAAACATATCGTTTCGCAGCGTCAGTTTGCAACACAACCTGGGCTCGAGCTCTTGCGAATTCTTAACACAAGTCATCGTTTTTGTTCCAATATTGTTTCATGGAGTTCTGCCAAACGGGCCTCTCGCGCCGCATGCTGAAATCATTCGCACGCGCTTGTGCGCGTGGGGGGGGGGAGGGGCACGATCCGTGTCAATAATTCCATGCGGGCCACTCTCGCGCGTCGGCCGCGCGCGCATGTCGAATTCCTTCCAAAATTATCATCGCCGACGCGAGGACGCCGTCATCGTCGCCAGCGTGATCAGCATCGGCGCCATCACTGGCCGTGCCGCCGTCGTTGTCAATATCTTCGCCAACCAACATCGCTACTATCATCATCGTGCCAACCGTTGTCGACGTTGCCATGGTACTGCGCCCGCCAACGTCGCCGACTCGCACTGAAGTGCCTGCTGGGATGCGCCCAGCGGTGAGCGCCACCGCGGCCGCGACGGTCGCGCCGAACTAGCTGGCCGCTGCGCGCGCGTGCTTGGGTAGGCGCGGCCGCCGAGATGCACCAGCCAACACCAAGCACTCATCGCAATCGCCGCCGCATGGGTTTTGCAATCCAAGTTGCGGGTGGGTGGGTGGAATGTTTGCAAAAGCGCGGCATGTGTAAACTCGTTTGTAAAAACAAACCCCAAAAGGAATTAGCTTCGACCACCCACTTCCGGGATTATCGGTACCCCTTTCCGTATTGCAATTTACATGTGATTCTGCCCCATTGTCCATCCTGAACATGAGCTCGTACTATTCTAAGCAGGCCGGTATCGACGGAACCCGCCATCCCCTGCAACATATATGTATGTATGTATACATGCATGCATGCATGCATGTATGTATGTATGTATGTATGCATGCATGTATGTATGTATGTATGCATGCATGTATGTATGTATGTATGTATGTATGTGTGTATGTATGTATATATGTATGTATGCATGTATGTATGTATGTATGTATGTAATGTATTCCTCTTCTTATATTTGTGCAAGCCCAGGCGGGCCCCCCCCCTCTCCTCGCCCAAACCAGACTCCCGGGATCTGGGGCTTTGGGCCCCCCGGACGGGCCTCGAAGCGGCCCCCCAGGCCTCGCAAGGCGTTTTGCCAAGCCTTCCCAGCGCGCCTAGGGCGATCAGGGGGGTCATCGGAGACGTCCCGTACGTCGACGAAATGTTGCACCACTTTTGCCGCGCATTGTCAGCTGTTTTGCATTGCTCCTCCCCCCCCCTCCCCCTGATCTTAATATTGGGCACATGGCAAAGGTCCCTTGGCGCCCCCCTCAGGGCTCGCGACAGAATGTTGCACCACCGAGCCGTTTCGATGAACCCGGGACCGCAGCCAATGTTAAGATTGGGGGGAGGGGGGGGGTGGAAGCGAACGTCCATTGCAAAATCGGCTTGCTTTCTTGACAACAACAGGTGGTGCAACATTTTGTCGATGTACCGTCCCAGAGACCCCCAAGACAGCGCAAGAGCGCTCCAAGAGTGACCGACGTGACCTCGAAGAGGCCTCCAAGAGCACCCCCAAGAAGGCCCCAAGCGGCAAAAATCATTGGTTTTCTGAAGGATTTTGGTGAATTTTGGGGTTCTCCTCTTTTCGGCTTCCGACGCTCCAAGGCGGTCTTCTGGGCGTCCGAAGCCGCCTGGGAGGCTCCGAAATCGCCCCGCAAACATCCGAAAGGGCTTCCAGGCAGTCCGAGAGAGCCCCAAAACGGCACAACACGGGTCCAACGTGGCCCTCAGACAACCCCATGGCGGCCCAAAATGGCCCCAAGACACCTTCCGAAGCATTCCAAATCGTGACCCGGTCGTTCAGGGAGACCGCGGTTGGAGGCAGGATTGCCCGAGGAAGGCCCCAGAGCCCCCCAGAATGCGCCCAGGAGGCCTCCAGAAGGCCTTAATAATGCCCGAAACAACTTTTGTTAGGCCCCCATAGGCTCTCCAAGGAGGAGCCTCCGCAAAAAAGAGCTCAGGAGGATGGGGAGAACGCGCATGGTATGGCAAAAATGAGGAACAAGAAGCATGAGGGAAGGATGACGAACGACATGCTTATAGCGGCGATGCTGGAAAAGGCAACAAAGAGTTATCGCTACATTGTCGACTTGACCTTCCTGCTATTCCGCCTGCGCGCCCAAACTTCAAGGACCAAGCTGCATGGCGCGAAGCGTCGCTGCAGTCTTGTGCGCACATTTTTATATCCTATATATATATATATAAATGTATTCTGTCATACGGCTTCAATACCTCACTGCATCCACATAAGGATACACTGGCACCGCAGAGCCCGACACATCATGTCCGAAACATCTTGTGTGAGGGCTAATGCTCTGGAGCGGGGTGCGAGGCCAGATCCCCCTCGCACCTAGCCCGACTGTGGGCAGGCGGGGAGGCCAAGGCGCAGGGGCAGTTTCAGGGTTGTCCTGCCCGCCGCGCCTGCTCGCGCATCGAAATCCTTTGGCGAAGAGCATCGAACCTGGCCGTGTACTCTGGGGTCTCAGGCGGAGCCGCTGAGCGATTTGACCCTGCACTGTTGTCTACTGCTCCCTGAGCTGATACGCGCCGGTTTCAGGGTGGGGGAAACGCATGCGAGAGTAGCCACTGGGGCCTTCAGTGGAGCTCCCTATGGGGCCACGAAGCGCTGCCAGGGTGGGGGAAACGCATGCGAGAGCAGCCTCTGGGGCCTTCGGTGGAGCTCCCTATGGGGCCGCGAAGCGCTGCCAGGGTGGGGGAAACGCATGCGAGAGTAGCCTCTGGGGCCTTCGGTGGAGCTCCCTATGGGGCCACGAAGCGCTGCCAGGGTGGGGGAAACGCATGCAAGAGTAGCCTCTGGGGCATTCGGTGGAGCTCCCTATGGGGCCACGAAGCGCTGCCGTGGGTGGGGGAAACGCATGCGAGAGCAGCCGCTGGGGCCTTCGGTGGAGCTCCCTATGGGGCCACGAAGCGCTGCCCAGGGGGGGGGAAACGCATGCGAGAGCAGCCTCTGGGGCCTTCGGTGGAGCTCCCTATGGGGCCACGAAGCGCTGCCAGGGTGGGGGAAACGCATGCGAGAGCAGCCACTGGGGCTTCGGTGGAGCTCCCTATGGGGCACGAAACGCTGCCCAGGGTGGGGGAACGCATGCGAGAGCCACTGGGGCCTTCGGTGGAGCTCCCTATGGGGCCACGAAGCGCTGCCCTGGGTGGGGGAACGCATGCGAGAGCAGCCACTGGGGCCTTCGGTGGAGCTCCTCTGCCCAGGGTGGGGGGCATGCGAAACGGGGCCACGAAGCGCTGCCAGGGTGGGGGAAACGCATGCGAGGGTAGCCTCTGGGGCCTTCGGTGGAGCTCCCTATGGGGCCACGAAGCGCTGCCCTGGGTGGGGGGAACGCATGCGAGAGCAGCCACTGGGGGTGGAGCTCCCTATGGGGCCCGCTGCCCAGGGTGGGGGAAACGCATGCGAGAGCAGCCACTGGGGCCTTCTGGAGCTCCCTATGGGCCACGAAACGCTGCCAGGGTGGGGGAAACGCATGCGAGAGCAGCCACTGGGGCCTTCGGTGGAGCTCCCTATGGGGCCACGAAGCGCTGCCCAGGGTGGGGGAAACGCATGCGAGAGCAGCCACTGGGGCCTTCGGTGGAGCTCCCTATGGGGCCACGAAGCGCTGCCCTGGGTGGGGGAAACGCATGCGAGAGCAGCCACTGGGGCCTTCGGTGGAGCTCCCTATGGGGCCACGAAGCGCTGCCCAGGGTGGGGGAAACGCATGCGAGAGCAGCCTCTGGGGCGTGGAGCTCCCTATGGGGCCACGAAGCGCTGCCCAGGGTGGGGGAAACGCATGCGAGAGCAGCCACTGGGGCCTTCGGTGGAGCTCCCTATGGGGCCACGAAGCGCTGCCCAGGGCGGGGGAAACGCATGCGAGAGCAACCACTGGGGCCTTCGGTGGAGCTCCCTATGGGGCCACGAAACGTGTGAGAGGTGTGCCGAGAGCAAAGGCAAGGAGGGGGGGGAGGAGGAAGGAGGAGACGCGGGGCGCTGTCTCTTCAAAACGAGGATCCAACACCACAGGATGGTTGGGAATAGGCAGCGAAGCGGCGCCCCAAGAAGCCGGATGGTGCTGTAGACGACCCCCCGGGTAGCCTCAGACGGGAACAGTTAACTGCCGGAGGCTGCTGCTCGGTACAGAATGCCCGAAACTCAGATGGGAGGCGAGAAAGAACGTGAGGACGCTGGATGTAAACGAATGAGTTCGGGAAGGCGGACATGCCAAAAGGAGCTCCGGGAGGCTTCCGGACATCCGCAGGCCCCAAGAGGGCCCAGGAGGGCTCAAGACGCCTCAAAGTGGCCCCGAAGGTGCTCCCGAGAGGCCCCTAAGATGGCTTTCAACGGAGTCCCCGGACCATATGAGTGCCACACTGGCGGGGAAACTTCCCAGAAGAGGGTCCGCCATGGTTCCCGCTCTGCGGGCCCACTGGCCCACCCTACCCTCACCCACCTTTAGGTCGGGCATGTCCTCTTACAGGCGGATTTTGGAAGAATCATGAAGCATAACCAACAAATAATCAACAATCGCCCGGCAATTATACAAAACCGTCACCAAACAATTTTTGCCTATTTTTGACTATTCCTCCTGTAGAGGGACATGCCCCGGCCGGTCGGGTCTGGCCGTGCTCCCCCCTGCCTTTGGCGCAGTTGCAGCAGCTCGCCGCTGGTGATGGAGAAGGCCTGCGCCGCGTGCACGGTGGCCCGCAGCTTGGCACGCCCGCGCGCGACCTCCGCGCGCCGCGCTGCTGCAAGGCCAGCAATCGTCATTCTATGGTCGATGTGTGGGTGCGTTCTCGGCCGAGAGGAGGAGGAGGAGGAGGAGGAGGAGGAGGAGGAGGAGGAGGAGGAGGAGGAGGAGGAGGCGGAGGAGGAGGAGGAGGAGGAGGAGGAGGAGGAGGAGGAGGAGGAGGAGGAGGAGGAGGAGGCCCACAGGTCCGATAGGAGGGGCATGCGGGCCGAGAGTCGAGGGGTGTACGCCGAGGGTCGACCCTTGACCCTCGGAACCTTCGCCCTCGACCCTCGGCCGGGAGTCGAGTCGAGGGGCGGGCCCTCCCATTGACCCTCGGCCGAGGGTCGAGGGGCGGATCCTCGCCCTCTCCCAGCCGCCCAGAGGGCGAGGAGGACCCCGAGAGGCTCTCGGCGGGCAGGCGCCGGAGAGGTCCTGCAGGAGGGGCCGCCGAAGAGGCCCGAGGAGGCCCTCCGAGAAGAGAGCCCCGACGCAGGCCTCGGTGCTCTGCCACGCGCGGGCCACGAGGAGGGGGAGGGGGAGGGGACCCAGGCATCTGGCGCAACGCAAGAATCGGGACGGAGGCTTTTCATAATCTTCCAGGGCGACGGACCCCCTGGGTGCTATCCGAGCGCAGCCGATCAGCCGATCGGCTGATCGGCTGATCGGCCGCCGATCGGCTGATCGGCTGCTCGGCATTCTCGGCCGCTGATCGGCTGGTCGGCTGCTCGGTCGCTGAGCGGCTCGTAGGCTGGTCGGCCGATGGATGATCCCAAGGCTGCCAAGAGGCCCATGTTGGCCCAAGAAGGCCCCAAGATGGGGAACAGGAGTTGAGATTTCGAGCCCTCCGCCCCCAGAGGGGGCCCGAGACCGCCAAGAGGCTCCCCACGAGGCCCCCCACGAGGACCCAAGAGGCCCTCAAGAGGCTTATAGAGATGCCCAAGCGGCCCCCGAGAGTCAACAGGCCCCCTTATGAGGCCCCCAGAGGCTTCAAAACTGCCTCCCATAGGCTCCCCAGAATTCCCCAGGAGACCCGGATAAGCATCCAAGAGGTCTTTGACTCAGACCCACAATCCAGGCACGGTGGCGGGATGGACCGAAGGCCAATCGATCCGCCGCCCTTTGTCGTCTTGCCACAAGGGTGCCTGGCGTGCCAGGCTTCTTCTGGTTTGGTGTTGGTTCTTTTCCCGAATATTCCAGATATTCCCAGAGACTACTCTGAGCTTGCAGCGCACTCCCTGGAAAAATCTGGGATTTCTGGAACATCTGGAAAGCCCATTTTTTTTACCTGGTAGTCTTTGGGAAGATCTGGAATATCTAGAAAACACAAGGTTTTTCACCTGTGTAGTCTCTGGGAATATATGGAATACATGCAAAATCTGGAAAACACATGGTATTTCACATGGGTAGTCTCTGGGGAGATCTGGAATATCTGGGAAATCTGGAAAACACATTTTTTTCACCTGGGTAGCTTCTGGGGAGATCACGAATACCTGGGAAATCTGGAAACACATGGTTTTTCTCCCGGGTAATCTCTGGGATAATCTGGAATACGGAGAATCCGGACAACACATGGTTTTTCACCTGGGTAGTCTCTGGGAAGACCTGGAATATCTGGAACATCTGGAAAACAGGTTTTGGAGAGAGAGAGAGAGAGAGAGAGAGAGAGAGAAAAGAGAGAGAGAGAGATAGAGAGAGTGAGAGAGAGAGAGACAAATGAACAGCAGCAGTCGAGGATGACGATGCGAAAAGGTATGATGACGTGTGGGGGGGGGCGACCATATATGTGTATATATGTATATATATATAGATATACATATACACACATATATATACATCTATCAATATACATAGATGTGTGAACACACACATATATACATATATATATACATATATATATACATACATATATATATATGAGGAGGCCGGCACTTGACGTACGACACTAAGATGCGACATCTCTCCCTGCGTACGGTGCTCAAGTCTCTTCCGCTCAAGAACGACACGGGTGCGCCCCTGCTTCTGGGGCCCGCCTCCAGCCATGGGAGGCCGTGCGAAGGGCATGCACGCAGACCATGACTTGGGGCCTCCACGTGCGGGACACAACACGCTTTCAGAGGGGCCCTGGGACACACAAGCAAATACACACAAATAGCAAGATACCCCATATTTTCCCATATTTTCTCGGGGCTTTGTTCTTCCCCCCCACTTCTCATGTTTTCCCATATTTCCTGGGGGTCGACGATGAATTGTGTCCGTGTGTATTTTTTCCCCTCCTGAATGTCTCGTGCAGAGGCGGGCCTCTAAGCAACGAGGCCAAGATCAGCCCACAGCGGGCGCTGTGGACCAGGCCCTCTGGAACGATCTGAAGGCGTGTTGGACCGAGTGGACAATCAGAACGGCGAGAACGGTTGGAATCCGTGGCGCCTGGAAGCCCATTCCCCTGGGAGCAAGGACCCGATGCCGCCACGCCTCCTGCACAGAATGTCCGCTTGGCAACCTCCGACGCTGCCGGCCACAGACACCTGATACCTCGCGCTCAAGAAAGGGCCAGGGAGAGATTGAGGAATTGTCATCGCTTCTTCTGCACAGGGTGGCGAATGGCGGCGGAAACAGAACTCGTTGGGCCGTCTTGGATGGTTGGAACACCAAAACGGAGGAACATCCCAAATCCTTCAAACACCTAGGGTAAATCAATGATTTTTACTCCCTCGGGCCTTCCTGGAGGACCTCTTGGAAGCCTCTGGGGCCATCTTGGAAGCTGGCGAACACTCGGGTGCCCCCCCAACGAGATTCCGATGTTGCTCGATTCAGGGCTTCTGGAGTCGGGATAACCCGAGCCCCCTCGCGAAGGAGAGGGGCCCTCCTTCGCCAATGTTTTTCACAGCGCAATATTTTGGAGAGGGTTGGAGAGGGACGGTCAGGGAACATGCAGAGCACCACATCTCTCCAGCCGACTGCCAATCGCACGCGGCCACACACAGCCAGCCAAGCCCGATATAAAAACCCTGGACTCGCACAGTCCTCCTTCGCCAAATACTTCCTCACCTGCTGCGCGACCGCATCAGGGGTAGTGGGCTAGGGGGAATCCACCACGCATGGCGCATCTGGGCCCCCCCCTCCCTCACCTTGAGACGGGCGCGGAAATGTGTCCTCATGATTTCGTTGGCGACAAGAACAGGAGTATGGGACAAACTGGAGCAGGAATTAAGTGATAATTGAAGAACCGAACGAATGCGACACAGCGAGCGTGTCAGACGGCCCAGCAATTGGCAACCATTGTGAACGTGAATCACCAGAACATGTCTGTGACTGCACCTCTCGAACCTTAGCGCTGCAGCCCCCTTCGCTAGGCTCTTCTGGCGCAGCAGTCGCGTATATGAGCAATGCGAAAATTCGAGAGGAAACAAAATGGCATGAACAAAAACTTTCGGAGCTGCGCGCAGATTTCTTGGATCTGCGCCGGACCCCCCTCCTTGGCGCGCGGAGCGCGCCAGGGGCTGCGTTGGAGGCGCCGCCAGGGGGGGGGGGCCCAGCGCAGATCCAAGAAATCCGCGCGGAGCTCCGAAGGTAAATGCTCCTGCAGCGTTGTTGTTCCTCGCTCTGGCAAGTTTTTCGGAACGGCGCTGGCCACAAGAGCGTCTGCGGCACCGCCCGAGCACGGGCACAGCCCTCCGATCACGTGGTAGCGCCTGCGCCGTCGATCCTCCTGTCCCCACGGGGTCCGCAGACGGCTCCGCCACCGAAGCGCGCGGACAGCTATCGGAGGAAGGAGAAGACCGCCTCCACAAACTGGCCGACGAGGCCCTGCGGCAGCCGCGCCATCGGGCAGCTCAGGGGGCTCTCCTTGCACAGCGCGATGCACGGGAGAAGAACCGCCAGATGAACATGAGCTTTCGGAGGCCCGCGCGGATGTCTTGGATCTGCGCTGAGCCCCCCTCCCTGGCGCGCGAAGCCCGCCAGGGGCGGTGCTGGAGGCGCCGTCAGGGCGGGGCCCAGCGCCGGTCCAGGGAAGCCGCGCGGAGCTCCGACGGCTTCTGTTTATGACGCTTTCTCCTCCTCGAGATGCAGAGGAGGCGGCGCCGAGGCCAGTCCTTCTGCGGTCGGACCTTCACAACAGCCCGTGGTCCCCTGGACACTGCGGCGTGGCCTCTGGCGGGCACGGGCAGCGCGGCGCGGCGCGGCGCGGGCGACTGCAGCTCGGAGCGCGCCTGGCGGAACTGCCTCGCGGCCTCTGCCAAGGTGCAGGGCGCCTCTTCCACCATGGCCGCCGCTGTTTGGCGGCGAGCCCGGGGGGGAAGTGAGGAGGGGCGGGCCTTCTCAAAGGCCGGAGGGCTTCTGGGAAGTACCGCCGACTTCCGAGAAGGCCTTCTCGTTCTCATTTCCCCCCTCGCTCGCCGCCGAGCTGTGCAGGAAGAAAAAACTGCACAACAATTAGCTTTCGGAGGTCTGCGCGGATTTCTTGGATCTGCGCTGAACGTGGCGGCGCCGGAGGCGCCGCCAGTGGGGGCCAGCGCCTATCCAAGAAATCCCCGCAGAGCTCCGAAACATTTCGTTTATGACGTTTTTTCTTCTTCGATGCTGGCGACCGAAGCCAGCCGTGCTCGCTGTTAAGCAGATGCTGGACAGTGATCTGCTCCGGCGCGGGGGTCTTGTTCTTCACGGGCGGGAGCCGCGGCATTGCGCACGGCTTGGCGCACTGTGCGGCTCGCATAGGCTCACCCAAACCCTAGCACTCAACGCCGTGATCCGAGACGGCTGCGTAAGGAAGAAAAGAAAGCCAATCGCCAAGATTCGCGGTCCTCCGTTCCAGACTGCAGATCAGACGTATCCCCCAACCGACTTTTTACGACCAGGGAGGGATGGAACGAGCAACAACATCCGCCGACGCACCCGGCGCATACAAGGGGGCTTTTTTTCCATTCAAGAGGTGGAGCAATTGAGGAGGAAAACTCACAAGAGGAGAAGGAGATGAAACATGTGGAGACACAGAAGTGTCAGGGGGAAGCCGAGGAGGAGCAGTATGATATCCTGGTGATGGTGACGACGATGACGACGGGGAGGGAATCATTAACTACTCGCCGATACCTTCGGCACCAACATGGGCAAAACCGCTCCACGACGGCTCGAGATGGCCACGGAACATCCCAAGCCTCCCTCGCTGTTTGCCTATGCGTGTCTCTTCCTCCCCCCCCGTCAACTCTTATGGGCATCGTTTCTGGATGGGTTGGTGGGGATCCTTTTGTTTGCAACGCAACCGCAAGCGGACAGCCGCGCTGCGTCGTGGAGTCGCATGAAAACCAAGCCAACAACGGCCAGGACAGAGGCCAGGCACAACAGCAGGCGAGCGCTGGTGGGGATATTTTTTGATTGCGAGTGACGCGGAAGATGCCGCGCACCGTCAACAGGGTCGATCAGCGGAAAAATGAACAGGCCATTACGCGGACAGCGCAAGGGGAACGAAGACAACACGAGGCGGAAGAGTGAGAAACGGGACGAGAAGAACAAGAAGCGAAGAGAAAAGAAAACACAACAGAGAGAGAGGAAACGCGCCGCAGCTCAGGCTCAGGCCAAGAAGTAAGCTGGTGGGGATACTTTTTGGTCCGCGGCTCCAAGGCGAGGGACATGGAGCGAGCACAACGTCCGGGGCGCGGTGCGTAGATAATTGGCGCGAGATTGCCGCAGACTCCAGCGGACAACACACGCAGCGGCACATGCACATGCCAGGGACAAAATGCCCCTCATTGAGACGCATTTCAGCGTCTGCTGGTGACCGGCCCAGACAGCCCGGCTGGTGGGGAAGCAAAAGGCGCGGCAACCGGCAACGGAACGGGGGGGAGAAGTCGCCCTTGCGGCGCCAAGCTCCAGCCGAACCGCAATCGGAAGCAAGGCCGAGACGGACAGCAAGGCACCGTAAAAGCCGCGGGCGGAACGCGAGTCCGAGTGGCCAATGACCGGGCGGAACCCACGTGTGTGCACACAGATCCAGGCCGTCCAAGACCTCGGAAAAGGGGGGTGAGCGCGAGCGAGAGCAACTAACTCAGACTCACTGCAGCTCCACGAGCATACGATGGTGCGGCGAGGGAGACCCGACTCACCAAGGCTCACTGAAGCTGAGGTGTGGCTGATCCGCGTCAGAGCGCCATGCAGTAGAGGCAGACCACTGGTGTGCGCAACCTCCAGCCTGTAGCCTGTGCGCTCACATCGTATCCGAATCACGCTGTTCGGGGGCACAACGATGCAATGTACTGACGAGGGCTGGTGGCTGTGGCTGCGCCGAGAATAGTGAAACGAACTCGAACCGCAGAAGGCTGAACCACTCAATGCAGGGCCGTTCACTTTGACGAAGCCAATCACCAGCTGTGTGGCGGAGCTGGTGGGGATACGCGAAGCGTCAAGACCTAACTACTCGCCGACTTCTTCGGTACCAACCTGGGAAACGCCTGCCACTTCCGAACCGTCCCTCCGAGGGCGCTTCGGAAGGGGGACGGAAACGCCGAGAGGGCTCTGGGCACCCGAGCTGCTCCAAGAGGGGTTGGGACGTCGCCAAGACAGCCCAAACAGGTCCGGACGGCGCGCGGTGCCCCAGGAAAACTCCCGAGAGAGCCCCCAAGGGGCTCCACGAAGGATGCAAAAGAGCTCCCGCCCCTCCCCGGGTCGAGGGGCCCGCGGCGCGGGGAGGGAGCCGCCCCCCTGTCCGGCGAGGCGCCCTCCTCTCCGCGCGCCTCTCCGTGCTTCTCCCTCCCTCGGCCCGTCGGGGAGCGGCCCCCTCCGCGCTCCCTCCCTCGCCGTCGGGGAGAGGGCCCCCACCACGAGTCCCAGACAACGAGGACCACGGGCAAGCTGCCTGGCCTTCCGTTCCAGCGTAACCCACTACGAAGTGGCCCAATCACCTCCCCAAGCGGCCCGCGAGGGGGCCCCGAGAGAGCCTCTACGAGGCCTGCGCATCCGCAATCTGAGCTGGCCTGGCATCGGCGTGCTGGCGGGGGGCGGGGCTAGGCGAGGGATGGACATACGAAAGCAAGCTGCTTGCGGAACCCCAGTGGGTATTGACGCCGCCAGGCTGACTGCCCCCCAATTGGATGACCTTCTCCTGGTCGATGCACCCGATTGATTGCACGTAGTTGTCGTCCTTCAGCCTGGCCCCGGCTGCGGGGGAGAGCTCACCCGGCTGTTGCCGCCTGTGCTGTGGAAAGCAGTGTCAGCTTGCATTGGGGCAAAACAAAAAGTTACGGTCAGGAACTTTTGCATGGCGTCTGGCGTGGCTGCCTTGGTGAAACGCTACGCCCTGCGAGCGGATGGCGCGTCGCTCCTCTCCGCGGGACGGGAGGTTTCGGAAGGCTCGGGAAGTTGACGCTTGGAGACCAGGGCGTGGTCAGCGTGTCGCGCGGAAGCGTGGTGATACGTGGTGGGCCAGAACCGGCGGCGCGACATTCTAAGCAAAAGTTTCGGACCGTAGTTCCACCGACCTGTGCAAGCCTTCAGCAAGAAATTCACCAGCGGCGTCCCCGTGGTTTGGCACTGACCGCGCCCCCTTTTCCTGCTGGGTGCAACGTGCCCCCTTTTCCTGCTGGGTGCAACGTCGAGGCGCGAAACATGGCGATGCAATTGCACCTCACCTGCAACCGAAGTAACCCACATTCGAACTTGCGGGATCGACCTCACGACTGGCTGTCAAGTTCTGTGGAACGGCTACCGTGTGTGCCATCAGACTGGTTTGGTGCTCGTGGCCCTGCTTCCCCTCCGTCCATTGGGGGCTGCTTATATGAGGCCGCAATTGGTGGAGTTTGGGCAATCGCGCCGCATCGCCGATGCACCGGAGACTTCGGGTTGGACGACATCGGTCCTCCGACCCCATCTGCTCCGGCCCCTTGGGGGCAGCCTGGATCCTCCCGCCAATCTCGCCATGACGGCAAGTGGTCCTGAGAGCGGCGGGTCCCAGACCCCAGGACTTTCCCGATGGCCAGCTCTCGCATAGGGGATTGACTACAGAGTTGATTTACTCCCAACTTGGTTTGCCGCTCAAGATGCAAGAAACGCGTAGTATAGTTATCGCCGGTCTACGTGACATGATGCGCATTGTTTCGCAGCTTCGGCGGGAAAATCGACTTTGGGGTACATCAATTCTGTTGTCGATCCCCTACCCGAGGCTCTTCATCCCGCCTCGCTTCCTGGCTGTCCTATGGCCCGCGGAGGGCCCCAGGCTGCCAGCCCCCCTCCGCCGCCGCGCAGCGCTCTACAGCGATATCCCGATCCAGGACCGCGCCGCGCCAGCAGGCGCCGAGCAGGCGCGCGCGGCGGGAGACGTGCCCTTTGGCCTCTTCGGGCGCCACCGAAGATGGTTTCCTGAAAAGGAAAGGAGGAGGAGGAGGAGGAGGAGGAGGAGGAGGAGGAGGAGGAGGAGGAGGAGGAGGAGGAGGAGGAGGAGGAGGAGGAGGAGGAGGAGGAGGAGGAGGAGGAGGGCCCGTACCACACCCTGAAAGTACCAAGGATGGAGGGTGGGGCAGGGACTGGAGTGAGGCTGCGAGTGCGCCTGCTCCTCCTCCTCCCCTGAGTTGCTCCCGGAAACGGCCTCTCGACCTGCACCGTCTTCAGGAAGTGCGCCGGCAGCCGCACGCGCGAGGGGTGCTCCCAGGCAGTCTGGCCGGTCTCCTGGGCAAGGGGTGGGCCGGGGGCATGGGCAAAACACGGTGCGCGCGCGAACGGCCTGGCCGAGCGGAAGGGCTGATGGACAGACGATGACGATGACGATGACGATGACGGCGACGATGACGACGACGATGACGATGACGATGACGACGACGACGTGTCGTCGTCATCGTCGTCGTCATCGTCATCGTCATCATCGTCGTCGTCGTCGTCGTCATCGTCGCCGTCATCATTGTCATCGTCATCGTCGTCGCCATCGCGAGCAGGAATCTGGCACACAGACGCAGATGGACAGGCGCGCGGGAGCACACACGACTATTCGACGTCGGCGGGGGCGAAGGCGCGGAGCACGAGGGTTTCCGCTTCCTCTGTGGCCGCGGGCCGCGGCCGCGCTCCCTCCCGAACGCTGGCCGCGGGCCGCGGCCTCCCCAACACGGCGGACTCATAGCCCCGACGCCGTGCTTTTTCGCGTCGCGGACCCCTGGAGGTCTGGACCCCTTCCCAAGGACCGGCTTTCCGTGTTTGTCTTTCAGCGCCCGAAACCGGAGACTTGAAAGACCGTCCGTCGGGATGTCTTCACGGCGGAAGGGGGTATTCGGGGGCAGCGCGTCCTAGGCTCGCGCGCAGTTCGTGCGCAGCTTCCGGGCAGCGTTCCCGAAGCGCGCTCGCAGCTTCTAGGCAGCTCCTACTGCTTTGACAAACTAACAGCAGTGTTCAAATACGTGTCACGCAGCTGTCATGCGCGCAAGGCACGTGTTGGCGGCGCACCCCCTTCAATGTCAGTCATCGTGGAACTTCCGAGTCTTCGCAACCCGCCCAGACCGCGTGTCGCTCTGCTTTGGGGGCGACACTGACTGGGTGGAAGGGAGCGACATTGAAGTGGCGCGTCGACCGCTTCTGAAGCTGATCTTGTCGAAGGCTGTAGGCGGCGCTTCCTGGGCACGCGCCCAGCTGCAGCGCAACGCTTCCCGGGCTCGCGCGCAGCGCCCCGGCTGCATCGGCTGCCGCTCCGCCCCCAGTGCCCGCGCGCAGGCGGGCAGGCGCACCGACAGGGTGCCGGCCCGCCTTGGAGCGCCTGCCGAAGAGAGGGAGAGAGACTGAGAGAGAGAGAGAGAGAAAGGGCGAGAGATAGAGAGAGAGGACGAATTCGGGCAGAGAGTCTGTCCAGGCCCGCGGGATACAAGCTCCCGCCGGACTTTCCCCTAGCGGCGGGGACGTGCCGCGGTGAGATGCAGGGGTGGCTCCCGTTGTGCAGTTCGACGCGGTAGTTCTCCACCCTCTGGCGCTGCTCAGTGTCGAGGCGCTGGTGGCCGACGTGCTGCTGAAAGACGTGGTGGTGGTTCTGGATCCCGTCGCGCTGCCCAACGTCGTGGAGGTCGACTCGGTCACGTTGCTCAGTGCAGAGGTACTAGTCGCAGACGTGCTGCTGAAAGATGTGAGGGTCGATGAGCCGCTCATCTCACTCGTATGTGCAAGGCTGTTGAGGCTGGATTCCGTCATGACGCTCGACGACGTGGTGGTTGACATAGTCATGCTACGCGGTGTCACTATGGTTTCGGACGTGTTGCTCGAAGGTGTGGTGCGCGTTGCCCTGCTCGTCTCACTTGTGGATGTGGGGCGGCTTGATGCGCGACGCCGTGATGCTTGGTCTCACCGTATGCTCGCTGCACTGCTTGTCCACCTCGTGAGTGCGAGGCTGTTGGCACTGGATCACATCGTAATGCTCAGCGTCGTGGCGTTCAGCTCCATCGCGTTGCTCAGTGTCGAGGTGCTGGTCACCGGCGTGTGCTGCAGGGCGTGGTGTTCGTAGCGGTGCTCGTATCGCTCGTAGGTGTTTGGGGCTGCTGATGCAATATCCTATGATTGTGCACGTCGTGATGGTGCTCGACTCCGTCGTGCCGCCTGTGACCTGGATCTGGTCCCAGACGTACTGCTCAAAGACATGGTGCTCGCTGCATTGCACGGTGCCGAGGTGGCTTCGGACGTTCTGCTCGAAGATGTGAGGTTGCTTTTGCTGCTGGTTCCCGTCTTCGTGCGCAACGTCATTGCGCTTGGTCTCGCCGTGCTGCTCCGTGTCGAGGTGCTGGTCCCTGGCGTGTTGCTGGCAGACGTGGTGGGCGCTGTGCTGGTCGTCTCACTCGTAGTGACGCTATCGGTGCAGGATCCCGTCGTACTGCGCAGCGTCGTGGTGCTCAGCTCCGTGGCGTTTCTCGGTGTCGAAGCGCCGGTTATAGTTTGGTTGTTGGCGGGCGTGGTGTTCCATGCTCTGCTCGTCCCACTTGGCGTGAGGCTGCTGATGCTGGATCCCGTAACACTGCACGTCGTGGTGGACTCGACTCCGCCGTGCTGCGCGGCGTCCCGATGCTGGTCGCGTAGGTGCTGCAAGTGGACGTGCTGCCCGTAGCACTGCTCATCGCAGTCGTGAGTGTGAGGCTGCTGGTACCCATGCGCGCGAGCCTTTGTGGGCTGGCCATGGACCTCACTGCGCTGCTCGTCACGCTCGTGAGTGTGGGGGTGCTGGTGCTGGCTCCCGTCGCAAGGTTCGACGCCGTGGTGCTTGGTGCTCCAACCCCTCGCACCGCTCAGTCTCGACGTGCTGGTGACAGACGTGCTGCTGAAAGACGTGGTGCTGGATCCCGTCATGCTGCCCGACCTCGCGGTACTCGACTCCGTCGCGTTGTCGAGTCGAGGTGCTGGTCGCAGACGTGCTGCCGAAAGACGTGGCGTGTGCTGCGCTGCTCGTCTCGCTCGCAGGTGTGAGGCTGGCGGGGATGTAACCCTCGTGCTGCCCGACGTCGTGATGCTCGATTTCGTCGTGCTGCACGGTGTCGCGATGGTCCCAGGCGTGCTGCTCGAAGTCGTGGTGCTCGTTGCACTGCTCGTCACAATCCTGGTTGTGCGGCTGCTGGTATTGGAGCCCGTCTTGATGTGCAACGTCGTGGCACTTGGTCACATTGTACTTCTCTTGTCCGCGAACCCTGGTATGCTATTCACGACGATGACGGCGAAGAAGACGAGGGATACGCGCCGGTAAGCGCCCGAAGGGAGCTTGTGCCGATATGCGCCCGTGCGGAGTTCGCCAAAGCGCTCCTTCTGCCCCCGGGTGTATGTGGGGACGGTGCCACAATTGTTGGTGCGACGACTGACATCTGAGATGCGAACACGGGCTTCCGCATGTGCGCCGGCGGGCCTGGTGGCTCAGCCCTAGGCCCCGCCGTCGGCAAGGCAGACGTCTCAGTTGACCTGGGCTCTGACGTTGATGCAGGGTTTCCTCTCACCCTGTTGGCCTGTACATGGAGGTTCAGCATCTGCGGAAGCGAGGGCTCAGTCTTGACGTGAACAGGACGGCAATATTGCCATTGGTCCGTTGGTCGGGACCACCCAATACTGACTCTGATCTCCATTGATGCAGGGTTTCCTCTCACCCTGTTGGCCTCCTCAGGGAGGTTCAGCATCTGGGGGAGCGAGGGCTCAGTCTTGACGTGAACAAGACGGCAATATTGCCCTTGATCCGTCCACCCAATACTGATTCTGATCCCCAGTGCGGCCAACGACGGTACCGTGCTGGCCGCCAATGGGGTTCTTCGTCTGGTTGGTGACCGTTCCCGGTGCCCTCCTGGATGGGGGCGGACCACCCAATGCTGATTCTGGTCCCCCGTGCAGCCGATGACGGTGCCGTGTTGGCCGCCAGTGGAGTTCTTCATCTGGTTGGTGACCGTTCCCGGTGCCCTCCTGGATGGGCAGAAGTTGAGGGATGAATAAACGCCTCTACCCTGGGTTACAAGTGGGTGGTCTGTAGACCTCCTGGGAGCTCCCAAAGGCCAGAGAGCCGCCAGGATACTGCGCGACACGCGCGAAACGAAGCGCTTGCCCTGTCAGCCCGCAGGAGGTTCAGCGCACAGCGCCTCGTAAACCAGGTCTGGGGCGTCCTTTAAGCCCTTGAAGAAGCAGAAAAGGCGGGACGAGGCCTGTGGTGTCGGGCACCGTTTCGCCCCTGGTGGGCCCTGCGTTTGCCCCGGCCCAGGCTCAGCCCCGAGATCGGGCGACCGGGCCCGCACGCTGCTCCGCACTCTGTTCGGCAAATTTGCCTCGACGCCGAAATCCTTTACCCCATCTGGCGCGTCAGCTCGCGCGCGTGCTGCCGTGGGAGCCGGTGACGTGGAAGGTAATGCTGTCAGTGGCGCTTGCCGTGCCGTGTGTGTCACTGAGGCCTCGCCTGTACTCGCCCAAGGGTTCCACCCTGGTGGGCGTACCCGTAGGGTTTGGCGGTGGTTGCAGCGGATGAATCTAGGGTCCTCTGGTGGCAGTACCCCCCCCGAGGCAACCGCTGGGAAATCGGAGAGAGAGAGAGAGAGAGAGAGAAAAAGAGAGAAAGGGAGAGAGTGAGAGAGAGAGAGAGCGAGAACAAGAAAGCAACATATCTGTACCCATGGTCCTTTGGTCACCCCACGGGCTGGTTGAGGCAGGAGCAGCCCGACGGACTTTGCTCTGGAAGCGGCAATGCAGAACCCGAGTGAGGCGGGGCCCACGCACGCCATCGGCGAATACAAGCGAGCGCCGATCGAAAAACAACGGGTCTTGCGCGAGATGACACAGCGACCTTCCGCGCTGGCTTACGCGGACCGCCAGCGCGGCAAGCCACAAGGGAGACGAGGGCGCTTAAGCGCGATCTCGCACGGGCAGCTTACGAGCCAATATCGGTGAAGATGAACCTTTCTTTTGCGCCGCTCGATGGAACTCGTAGGGTATTGCCTCTGGCAACCTCGGCGTGCCGACGCCCACCGCCGTCGCGCGCAGCTTGCGTCGGCGGCGAGACAAGGGAAGTCCGCGCTGGCGGAAAGGTCGACACGGGGATGCCGTCAGGGCAGATTGTGACACCATGCAGGATGATGATGATGATGATGATGATGATGATGATGATGATGATGATGATGATGATGATGATGATGGTGATGACACGCCCGTAAAGACGGGTTCCCGAGATCCACACGACTCAGAAGCGCCACCACCAGCCGTCCCTCGACAGAAGGTGGGGAAGAAGAGAGAGAAGCGAGAGGAGAGAGAGTAGGAGGGGGAGCAGGAGGGGGACGCGGCCGAAAGAGGGGCGCGGAAGCAGCGAGCTGCTCAGGGGGACGGGTCACGCCCCGAGCGTCCGTGACGCGCACCCTCTGCGAGCCGACGCCCCGTGGGCCAGGGCTCGCCAAAGGCCGACGGGCGTCCTGTGCTGCGCTGCCGCGGGTCCAGATCGTTACCGCTAAGCTTAAGTCGGGCATGTCCCCCTACATGCGGAATTCGGACGACAAAATTAAACGTAGTCGAAAATACCCCAACATGTTCAAAAATGGTGAAACATTGTCCCCATATTATGATGTTCTTATTTTATATTAATGTGTATTTTTGAATATTCCTCCTGTTGAGGGTCAGGCCCGACTTAACGCTAGGCCTGGCTGTCCAGTGGAGGCCAATCCACAAGAAACCTTACGCAAGAAACCCAACCCGTGAGACCCCAGGAAGCCCATTGAGATTTGGCATTGGAAAGTCACGCTTTCCACAACAAAACCATCGAAGTACAAGAAACCCAGGGCACCTTGGAGGCAAGCAGGGTGTTTCTTGGCACGAGTTTCCACTGTATTCGCTGATGGCGAATGTGTGCCGGGGATCTCCTGGCCCGGGTCAATCCAGACCCGGGTCAGTGCAGGATCCTGCAAGACCCTGCGGGAGTCCTGCGCCCAAGCCCGGGTCAGTGCGCCCTTGGCACTGCAGGATCCTGCAAGCTCCGGCGTTCTGTCTGACCCCCGTTTGCACTGACCCCCGCCTGCACGGTTTCCCCCGGGGCCGTAGGCGACCCGAGGAGGAGGAGGAGGAGGAGGAGGAGGAGGAGGAGGAGGAGGAGGAGGAGGAGAAGGAGGAGTGGAGGAGGGAGAGGGGGAGGAGGAGATGTACGAGGGGAGGAGGAGGAGGAGGAGGAGGAGGAGGAGAGGAGAGATGAGGAGGAGGAGGAGGAGGAGGAGGAGGAGGAGGGGTCGCCTAAGCCCTTCGGAGAAACCCTCCACCCCCGTCCCTTGAGCCCCGAATGTGGGCGCGGGCGGCGCTGCCGGCGGACCTCCTACCGAGTCGGGGCTGCTGTGGTCGGCGTTTTTTTGGGGGGGCGTGCCGATCTCGGAGAGAACGCGCGCTTCACGGGCGCCTGCCTTGGGAACAGTCGGCGGCGCGTTTCAAACCGGGGGATGCCCCCCCCCCCCCCCCCAACACTAGGCGCCGTCGATCGAAACCAGGGGGACTCCCCTCCCCGCCAAACCCCTCCCCTCCCGAACCCCCCCACCCCCCCAATCCCCCCAAGGGGGGGGGTTCAAACCCTCCCCCCCCCTCGGCGCCGGCGCCGGCGCTGGCGGCCGCCAGCAGCGCCCACGGCGGGGATAGACGCCGCGCTCGGGGACCACCCCTTGCGCACCCCCTATGGTGTCGAGAAGGTACCACGCCTGCTATGCCCTGCGCCATGGCCCGCATAGACGCCGCGCTCGGGGACCACCCCCTGCGCACCCCCTATGGTGTCGAGAAAGTGCCACGCCTGCAATGCCCTGCGCCATGGCCCACGTGTGCGGCAATATCGGGACGTGTGCCTCATGTGTGTGCCCAATCTGTACGCATACATCGCGTGTATGTGTTATGTGTGTGTGTGTGTGTCTGTTTGTGCGTGAGGAGAGGGAGAAGGAGAGGGAGGCGCGTGGAAGACGCGGGTGCGACGCGGCAGAGAAGAAAACCATAACCCCACGACACATTTTTTTGGTCGGCGGCGCGAGAGCGAACCTCTTCCGCTAAAAGCTAGGCGGGCTACGCATAAACCCCACGAAACATGTGGGGAAGAAATGCCACAGCAACGCAGGACATGGCAAGGCCAAGACCTCCGGGCGGGCGGCGGCGCGCGGTGCAGCGCATAGAACTGAAGGGGCCCTCCCTGTGCGCGTAGTACGGCCGGCCGCTCGAGCTCTTGACCTCGTACCACTTGGCCAGCTCGCCCTCGCCGGCGCGCCCGCGCCCGCGGGCGCGCGCGCGGCGGGCCGCAGGACTCGCCATCGCTCGGACGTCCATTCCCGGTGCGCTTTTTCGGCCTCGCGCGTGCACTTTTTTGGCACGGCGCACGAACATGCTCCTCGAGGGTCCTTGCCGGGGGAAAAAAATGCACACGTCCGAGCGATGCCAATGGGAGACGATGGCCTCGACGCCGCCAGGGGAGCGCCCCCCGCGCCCCTCGGTCCGGGGCTCCCACGGCTGCACGCAGGAATCGACTGAGTTGGAGCTCCTCCAGGCCCTGTTTCGGGCGCGGGAGGCGCGGGTGAGGCTGGAACGTGTCGCCGCCCGGCTCGCACGCTCACGCGGCTCGGCTCTGGGCAAGAGGGGCCTCTGGTGTGCGCGGCTCGCCGATCGCTCGGCTCCGTGCGACAGTGTCGGCAGGAAGCGGGCGGGTCCTGGACCTCAAGACCGTGCCCCCCGGGACCAACTCTTCGCCCTGAGCTGTGCCTTGACAGCCCCAGGGGCCCGTGGAAGGCCCCAGTTTGCCCGAAAACGGCGGCGCATTTCAGGTACAGGTACAGCCTGCATGCAGCTCCAGAGGAGCGGTCCCTCAAAGGGGCAGGCGGCGACCAAGGATTATGAAACGCTTAACTCAGGGACCGCTTCGTTAACTCAGGGCCCGCTTCGTTTGTGAAACGTTTACCCCATGGCCCGCTCCGTCAACTCAGGGACCGCTTCGTTCCCGGCGACGGCGGCGGCCCGCGTGCTCGGTTCCGCCGCCCCCTCTCCCCTCCCCGCGCCCCCCCGCAAGCTGCGGGCCACACTTCCGCCTGGCCTCCGCACCTCCCACCTCGGGCCTCCGGCGGCCGCTCGGGACGATCTCGGCGCCCCCCGAAGGCACTCGTCTGGGCGCAGCTGCTGGAGCGCATCCCGAGGCGGGGGAGCACCCAGGAACCGACGATGACGTCCGAGAGCCCGGAGGAGGGGAAAGAGAGGAAGGAGGAGGAGGAGGAGGAGGAGGAGGGAGGAGGAGGAGGAGGAGGAGGAGGAGGAGGAGGAGGAGGAGGAGGAAGGAGGAGGAGGAGGAGGAGGAGGAGGGAGGAGGAGGAGGAGGAGGAGGAGGAGGAGGAAGTGGAGGAGGGGGAGAAGAAAGAGAGGGCGAGGAGGAGGATGAGGGAGAGGAGAGGCAAGAGGAAATGGAGGAGGGGGAGGAGGAAGAGAGGGCGAGGAGGAGGAGGTGGAGGAGGAGGAGGAGGAGGACCTCCCATCCGCCTCCCATTCCTTCATCCCCGACTCGGTGGCCCTGGGGCCCCGCAGTTCGTGCGCAAGCCTGCTCCTGCGGCCGTCCGTCGTGCCTCTGCCGTCCTGAGGTCACCGCAGCCTCGCACGTCGCGCCCCGCGGGTGCGCGACGCGCGATTTTTCTTCGCGCCCTCGCGCTGCCGCCCCGGAGGATGGCGCGATAGTCTTCGCGGCCCTGGGGGTGACCTGGGCTGCCGCCCTTGCCCCGAGGCAGCTGCCGAGGAGAGGGCGACCCGCGCTGCTCATCTGCATGTGCGTTTTGCCCCATCCATCCTGTGGTTTTGGGTCCTCGTTTTGAAAAGGCAGCGCCCCGCGTTCCTCCTCTTGCCGCCCCCTCTTCCATCCTCCCATCCTTGCCTCTGCCCTCCGCAGTCAACCATTCCGGCACACTCCTCACACGTTTCGTGGCCCCATAGGGAGCTCCACCGAAGGCCCCAGAGGCGACGTTTGCATGTGCGCGTCACGCCCGCTTCGGCACACCCCTTACGCGTTCCGTGGCCTCATGAGGAGCTCCACCGAAGGCCCCAGTGGTGGCGTTCGCATGTGGGCGTCACGCCCCTTGCGGCACACCCCTCAAATGTGTCGTGGCCCCACAGGAAGCTCCACCGAAGGCCCCAGTGGCCGTGTCCAGATGCGGCCGCCCCACCCATGTCAGCACACCCCTCGCACGTTTCGTGGCCCTACGGGGAGCTCCACCGAAGGGCCCCTGTGGCGGTGTCCACATGTGGGCGTCACGCCCGTTTCGGCACACCCTTCACGCGTTTCGTAGCACAGAGAGCTCCACCTGAGGCCCCAGCGGCGGTGATCAAATGCGGGCGTCACGCCCGTTGCGGCACCCCTCACACGTTTCGTGGCCCCACAGGGAGCTCCACCGAAGGTCTCAGTGGCGGTGTCCACAACATGCGGCCGCCCAACCCCTGTCGGCACACCCCTCACACGTTTCGTGGCCCCGCATGGAGCTCCACGTGAGGCCCCAGTGGCGACGTTCGCATTCCCATGTGGGCGTCACGCCCGTTTCGGCACACCCCTCTCACGCGTTTTCGTGGCCCTACAAGGAGCTCCACCGAAGGCCACAATGCGGTGTCCACATGCGTCCGTCACGCCCGTTTCGGCACACCCCTCACACGTTTCGTGGCCCCAGAGAAAGAAAGAGACCCGCCTGAGGCCCCAGTGGCGGTGCCCACATGCTGGCGCCCCACCCACGTTGCCAAACCGCTTACACGTTTCGTGGCCCCATGGGGAGCTCCCCCGAAGGAACCGCCGAGGGCCGCAGTGACAGCGCCCGCACGGTGGCCCCGCTCCATGTCGGCACCCCCCTTGCACGCTTGGTGGCCCCGTGCAAGGGCCCCGTCGAAAGCCCCAGTGGCAGCGCCCGCCGGGCTGCTCGGCCCCATGTCGGCGCACCCTCCGCGCGCTTCGTGGCCTCAAGCGGAGACCCACCGAAGGCGGTGCTCACAGCGCCGGGCCCTTCGCAAGGACAGCTCTGCCCGGTCTGCCGCGGGCGCGAGGGCCTGAGGCTGGGAGCAGCCCGAGCGAGTCAGCGGGGCCCAGGTGCAGCACGTCCTGTGCGAAACAAGAACCGAATCCAGAAGTCAAATCGGCGATCGAAATAAATCGGATCGGCAGGGGTCGGCAGCGAAGTCAGGAGACGTCGAATTGGCGGAAAGCAGGTCAGCGAGGCCTCCACGGAGAAACCGAAATCCAAATCGGAACACAAGGACGAATCGAAACGGAATCGGAATCGGTCGAAATCGAATCGCGACGGACAGATTCTGCGAACTCTCTCGGCTACACGCAGGTGTGGCCCTAGGCAGGAGTGACCTCTGGTGCGCGGATTAAGGGGACGCAGGGTGGCCAAGCCCAAGCACGCAAGCAGCCAGTCGTATCGCGCTCAGCGATCGGGGGATCCGATTGGGCCCGCCCCCGAAACTCACTCCGGCGAAGGGTCACTCTTACCTACGTGTATGAGACTTCTGGCCTCCGGGGGCAATTTCTGGGCCCTGGCGCCTTCAGAAACAGACCCTCGGGGGTCGACAAGACCTCAAGTCGGGCCTGTCCCTCTACAGGAGGAATATTCAAAAATAGTCAAAACATAGTCGGGGGACGATTATTGTAGTATTTTTTGAACATGCTGGAATATTTTGTGACCATTTTCAATTTTTCCTCCACCACCCCCTGCAGGGGGACATGCCCGACCTAACAAGACCCCCTGAAGCACAACACCCTCGAGTGGAAACGACCCAGGGCCAGACCAGGCGGGCGCATGGCCGCAAGAACTGCGGCCGCAACACCCTCTCGAGAACAGAGGAAGGGGCAAGTCGCTGATCGACTTGGCAGGGTGGGGGTTGTATTAGGTTGGACATGTCCCCCCTACAGGGGGATCGTGGACGAAACATTAAAACATTCAAATGCTCAGAAATAAAAAATAGAGAATTGTGTATATACATGTATTGAAACAAACTATTTTTGAATACTCCTCCTGTAGAGGGGCACGCCCGACTTAAGGGTTGTAGCAAACTCCGACTCTCCTCCTCCAGCCTCTCCTTCTCCAGGTCTCTCGCCCTCCCCTCCTCCACGCTCCCTGCTTTGTCGCCCTCCCTGCTTCTCGCCCTCTCCCTCTCATCCCTTTGCTCCTTTATCCTTTCCATCTCCCTGCCTCTCGCCCTCCTGCCTCTCCTCCTTTTCCCTCCTCCTCCCTCCTCCTTTTCCCTCCTCCTCCCTCCTCCCTCCTCCCTCCTCCCTCCTCCCTTCTCCCTCCTCCCTGCTCCCTCCTCCCTCCTCCCTTCTCCTCCTCCCTCCTCTCCTCCTCCTCCTCTCTTCCTCTCCTCCTCCTCCTCCTCTCCTCCTCCTCCTCCTCCCTCTCCTCCTCCTCCTCCTCCTCCTCCTCCTCCTCCTCCTCCTCCTCCTCCTCCTCCTCCTCCTCCTCCTCCTCCTCCTCTCCCCTCTCCTCCTCCTCCCTGCTGCTCCTCCCCAGCCCCTCGAAGAGGAGCCGCCGGGACGGGGCGCCGAGGCCTTGGTCTCCGCCTCCCACCTCTGGCGGCCAGATGAATGATCATGATGATGCTGACGATGATGGTTATGCCGCTGCTGCTGCTGCTGCTGCTGATGGTCGTGTTGCTGCTGACGATGATGGTCATGCTGATGCCGATGGTGGCGAGGAGGAGAAGGAGGAAGATGAGGAGGAGGAGGGGAGTGCGGAGGAGGGCTGCGGGGAGAAGGGGGTATCAGGAGTGGAGATGTGAGGGGGAAAAGGAAGAGAAAGGCGAGAGTGATGATGATGATAACGATGCTGATGATGATACTGATGATGATGATGATGCCGATGACGATGATGATGCTGATGACGGTGATGATGATGATGACGATGATGCTAACGATGCTGATGAGGAGGAGGATGAGGATAATCATGATGATGACGACTATGATGATGCTGATGATGCCGATGATGATAATGAAAGTGATGATGACGTTTTTCATGACAACGATGAGCATGATGTTGACAGTAATGACGTTTGCTGGATGCTGTTTTCTGACAGTGATGCTGACGATGATGCTGATTATGATGATGATGCTACTGATGGTGATGCTGAGGATGCTCACAATGCTAATGATGATGATGCTGCTGATGATGATGGTGATGCTGATGGTGATGTTTATGCTGCTGCTGGTGATGCTGATGCTGATGATGATGATGCTGAGCATGATGATGCTGATGATGCTGATGCTGCTGCTGACGATGACGATGACGATGCTGCTGCTGATAATGCTGATAATGATGATGCTGATGTTAATGACGATGCTGATGATGACGATGATGATGCTGATGATGATGATGGTGGCAATGCTGCTGCTGCTGCTGATGATGATGATGACGATGACGATGGCGACGACTATGACGACGATGACGATGGCGAGGATGACGATGATGATGATGCTGATGATGATGATGGTGGTGATGATGATGCTGATGACGATAATGATGATGATGCTGATGATGATGATTATGATGATGATGCTGCTGATGATGATGATGATGATGATGATGATGATGATGATTCAGCTGATGGTAACGATGATAATGATGATGCTGCTGATGATGATGATGATGACGGTGATGGTGATGATGAAGATGAGGGTGAGGATGATGATAATCATGCTGCTACTGATGATGATAACGCTGGTAGCCATGCTGATGACGATGTTGTTTCCCACAGACCACCCCTTCTCAGCCGCTCGGCCGCGGGCCCGCGCCGTACACCAGGCGCAAGGCGGCAAGGATGACGATGATGACGTGGAGGAGAAGGAGGAAGACGAGGAGAGAAAGAAAGGGCGGAGGAGGACTGAGAAGGGGAGGGGTCAGGAGCGGAGGTGGGAATGGAAAAGGAGGAGAAAGGGGAGAATAGGGAGGACGATGAGGAGGAGAAAGACCAGTGTAAACTCAACACTCATCAACGATGTTAAAGTAACCCCCCTCCAAATTCCCTCCTCATAGGTCCCTACAACAATTCATTTTCCCTGAGGGAAGTGCCCCGTTTGAATACAATCGTTAAACAATCCTGCAACGTCCCAAAACACCAATCCTGGGACTTCAACGCCGCGAATCAACGGTACTGTTGCGCCCTGACGGTCCTGAAGTATGCCAGAGCACCATCCCTGGGACCCGAACGCCGCGAATCAACGTGACTGTTGCGCCCTGACGCAGTCCTACAACGTGCCGAAACATTGTTTCTGGGACGTCAGCTACAAGAGCCCTTGCAAACGTTGTAGCCTCTTGAAACGACTGTGCGCGGCGCTGAGGCGAGAGCTGCATCTTGAAAACCGCCCGCCCTCAATCCGTGAAGCTGATACACGTCGTTCATTTCTGATCGTGCTCATTTCCAATTGTGCTCGTTTCTACTTGTTCCTGGCCCCGTAGTGGCCAGGAAGAGGCCCAGGATAGAACAATTAGACATGACAGGATCTAGGCCCCCCCAAAAAAACAAAGAACTTTCGAAGCCTTAGAAATGAACAGTGCGTATGCAAACCTTGCATCAACCGAGTGTGCGCGGGGCCGACACCAAGACCACATGTTGTGAGAGAGCCGCCCGCCCCACCCCACCCGGGCAGCTCGCTTGGCACACTTTCAACAGCCGAATGCGCGCGGCGCTAACGTTACGTCGGGCCTGTCCCCCTACAGGGGAATTTCGACGACAAATAACAAATACTCAACAAATGCTCCAAAATGGTCAATACATATTCAACAAATAATCCCCAGACTATTTTTTGACTATTTCTGGATATTCCCCCTGTAGAGGAACAGGCCCCACTTGCGGGCCGCGCGCAAACCTAATTGGAAGGGGCCCTGGGACACACAAATAAATAGACACAAATAACAGGATTCCCATATTTTCGAATCTTTTCTGGGTTTTTGTCTCCCCCCCATTTCCCATATTTTCCCCTATTTTCCTGGGAGTGGACGATTAATTGTGTCTGTGTGTTTTTCCCTCCTGATAATTGCCTAGCGCACGGGGACCGACGGCCGAACCTAAGCTGCCTAAGCTGCCTAAGCTGCCGGGCGGCGCGAGGTGGTGCCAGGAAGCGGGGCAGGGCCCGAAACCCTGCCGACGGGCGATGCAACTGCGACAGCGACCTGCGCACTGCTGCCAGCAGGGTCAGCAGGGTGTCGTGCGATTTGTCGTGCTGCAGCCCTGCCTTCTCACTGCAGCAGGGCCGGCAGGGGGCATACCCCGCAGCTCAAGGACCGAGCTCCGAGATGGCCCCGTGAGAGAGGCTCGCTACCTTACATCACGGGGCGCTGCAGAGAGGACAGGAGGAGGCTGGCTGACCCCCGCAGGCGCGTCGTCGTCGTCGTCGTCGTCGTCGTCGTCGTCGGCCCCGTCGGCGCCGTCGGCGTCGTCGGCGTCGTCGGCGGCGTCCCCTCGAATGGACGTCAACGGAGGGGGGTGGTAATCACACGGGGGGGGGGCGGCCCAGGGTCGCAGGCAAGTGGCGCGAAGTGGCCCCTGAGCCACCCCCGCGGCCCCAGACCCTGAGCTCCGACGGCGCAGGAGGAGTGCACCCATCGCAGGACACTACGACCTGGAGCCCTCGACCCCTCCTCCTGGCGACACGTCTTCAGCTGGATGGATCTGCGAGGGCCCCAGGGCTTATATTGCCGCCACCGAACTTAAGGATCACATCCCAAGAATAATTTCGAGCACCCAAGACAGTATCGAAACAGTGTCGATCGTGTATCGCCTCCCAGAGCCCGACACTTGAAAACCCGCCAGTTTCGGTACTTTCTTGGTGCTCGAAATTCTCTCTGGTGATAGAGTAAGTTGGAACAGCATAACCCAAGGCCCGAACCTGGATGAATACGCCCAGCGTGAGAAAAATATGCCAGGAGCTCAGGGAGATGCGCTGGAAAAATGCGCTTTTCTTCGCGCCCCAATCGTTCTCGCCGTTCCCGTCCGCCCGACCCCATCCTGAGCCCTCAAAGTCTGGATCTTTGCGGAACGTGGACCCCGGGAGGTTGGGACCCCTTCTCGGGGACCCTTTTTTATCCCGAGCCATCTTTGGGAGCCGGTGAGGTCCCTTTGGAGGCCGGAGATGGCCGACATCTCCCGTCGCTTTTTGTCGCGACGCGAGGAGGTTCGGGCTCACTGCCCTAAGTCCTCTCAGAAGAAGCCCCCAAACTCCTGCTGGGGTTCATCCTGGCCAATGTGTCGAGCTGCGGCCCGCCGTGGCGACGACAGTTTCCAACCACGCACAAAAACCTTTGATCCCAAATCTCGATCCTCCTCGAACTTCAGAGCCGGCCTCGCCCCCCCCTCCCCCCCCACAGGTTTCCGCCCACTTTTCGGCTACACGCAAGAATGGCCCTAGGCACGAGTGACCTTCGTGCGCGGTTTTACGGGGGCCCAGGGAGACCAAATCCACGCGCGCAAACCGCTGCTAGCGCACTGCACTCAGCAATCGAAGGATCCCGAAGGGCCCGCACCAGAGGTCACTTTGGCGAAGGTCCCTCTTACCACCCTCGACAAAACTAACCTCAAACATGTGTCACGCGATATCCCTGTCGCGCGCGCAGAGTACGCGTTGGCGCCCGTTCACCAACCAATGTCGGTCATCGTGGAACCTCCGAGTCGCACCCGCCTGGAACGCGTTTCGCTCTGCTCCGACATCGAAGGGGATGACGGTGCATGGGCGAAAGGGTGCGGCATTGAAGTGGCGTGTCAACCACTCCTTAGTTTTCTGTTGCTGTCGAGGGTTGTAGGTGTAGCCTTAGGTCGGGCATGTCCCCCTACAGGCGGATATTGGATGACACATCGAACATACGCAAAACATGCTCAAATATAATCCAAAAATGCATCACAAATCGTCCCCAGACGATCTTTGCACTATCTTTGAATATTCCTCCTGCAGAGGGCCAGGCACGACTTAAGTGCAGCCGAGCTTTTCGAGGTACCGCGGGCCGCCTCCTCTGCATGGTCTCCAGCGCCTGCCGCCGCGTGTCGGGAGCTCCGCTCGGCCGCCCTGCCTCGAGAGAGGGGGCGCCCCCCATGGCGTGCGGCACGGCCCTCCTTGGAGCTGACCTGCGGAGCCTCAGATCTGGGAGGCGCAAGAGAAACGTCGCGACCTTGTTTCGTGCTTGAACCCCACCATCCTATGGTGTAGGGTCCTGGTTCTGAAGAGACAGCGTCCCGCGTCCCACCTCCTCCTCCTCCTCCTGCTCCTCCTCCTGCTCCTCCTCCCGCTGCCCTTCCTCCTCCCATCCCTGCCTCTGCACTCCGCATGTCAACCACTTCGGTACACCCCTCCCACGTTTCGTTGCTCCATAGGGAGCTCCACCGAAGGCCCCAACGGCAGCGTCCGCATGGCGCACCCGCACCCCATTCGGCACACCACTCACACGTTCCGTGGCCCCACAGGGAACTCCACCGACGGCCCCGACAGCAGCATCCGCATGGCGTACCCGCACCAAATGCGTCAGACTCTCTCTCTCTCTCTATATATATATATATATATGCGTATCGTGGCCTCGTATGGAGCTCCACCGGAGGCCTCAGCAGCAGCGTCCGCATGGCGTACCCGCGCCCACTGCGGCAGACCCCTCACACGTTCCGTGGCCCCATAGGGAACTCCACCGAAGGCCCCAACGGCAGCGTCCGCATGGCGTTCTCGCGCCCAATTCGGCACTCCTGACACGTTCCGTGGCCCCACAGGGAACTCCACCGAAGGCCTCAGCGGCGGCGTGTTCATGGCGTACCCGCAACCGATGGCCCCCCGTCACACGTATGGTGGCCCCATAGGAAACTCCACCGAAAGCCCCAACGGCATCGTCCGCATGGCATACCCGCGTCGACTTCGTCACACCCGTCACGTGTTCCGTGGCCTCACGGGGAGCTCCAGTGCAGGCCCCAGTGGCAGCGCCCACATGGCGCACCCACACCCAATTCGGCAGAATCTTCACACGTTTCTTTGCCCCATAGGGAGCTCCACCGAAGGCCCCAGCGGGGCAGTCTGCATGGCGTACCCGCACCCTATCTGGTACACCCCTCACACGTTTCGTGGCTCTTTCGGGAGCTCCGGTGCAGGCCCCTGTGGCAGCGCCCGCATGGCGCACCCGCGTCCAATTCGGCAGAACCTTCACACGTTTCTTGGCCCCATAGGGAACTCCACCGAAGGCCCCAGCGGCGCAGTCCGTATGGCGTACCCGCACCCGATCTGGTACACCCCTCACACGTTTCGTGGCTCTGTAGGGAGCTCTGTTGCAGCCTCCAGTGGCGGCGCCCGCATGGCGGCCCCGCACTCAATTCGGCACACCCCCTCACACGTTCCGTGGCCTCACAAGGGGCTCCACCGGAGGCCTTAGCGGCTGAAGGCCTTCACCTGCACGCGATACTCGCAGCTGCACATGTTTTGGTTTGTTTTGCTTGTCGCTCTTGTCATGCTTGGCTTTTGTCGCCGTTTTGCCTGGCCCATGGGCCTTCAAACGACGGCTTCGCGGGGAGAAAAGGTCGAGGTCTTCGGGGGGCGACTGCACGGACAACATGCGTCGTTGGAGGTGACTCTCCGACGACGCACGTTGTCCGTGCCAGCTACGCCCGACGCGCAGCGACCGATCAAGACGCGGCGCCGATGAGGCAGCTCAGCGCTGGCGCAAGCGCGCATGAAGAAGCATGCGCGATGCCCGACGGGCGCGCGGTGCGAACGCAACTCGTGCAGACGCTCAAACTTCCCCCCAAAACGCAGCATTCACACGGCGAGTTTAGTTTACGGCTTTTTTTCCTCTCTAGGGGAGGGACGGTGAGGGGGCAAAAAAGTGGAACCCCCTCGTCGTCGATACCATGTTCGTGCCCCCCACTCCCCCCCGACTCGAAGCTGGGCTCTGGCGTGGTGGAGGCCCCGGGGGCTCCATTTTTTCCCAACCATCCTGTGGTGTTGGGTCCTCGTTTTGAAGAGACGGTCCCCGCGTCCTCCTCTCCTCTCCTCTCCTCTCCTCTCCTCCTCTCCTCTCCTCCTCTCCTCTCCTCCTCCTCTCCTCCTCTCCTCTTCACCCACCCAGTACACCGTTTCGTGGCCCCATAGGGAGCTCCGCCGAAGGCCCCAGTGCTGCCGCCCGCATGCGTCACCCACACTCAAGTCGGCACACCCCTCACACGTTTCGTGGCCCCATAGGGAGCCCCACCGAAGGCCCCAGTGCTGCCGCCCGCATGCGTCACCCACACCCAATTCGGCACACCCCTCACACGTTTCGTGGCCCCATAGGGAGCCCCGCGGAAGGCCCCAGTGCTGCCGCCCGCATGCGTCCCGCACACCCAATTCGGCACACCCCTCACACGTTTCGTGGCCCCATAGGGAGCCCCACAGAAGGCCCCAGTGCTGCCGCCCGCATGCGTCCCGGCGGTGCTCACATGCGCATGCGTCCCGCACACCCATTTCGGCACATCCCTGACAGGTTTCGTGGCCCCATCATCCACCGGAGGCCCCAGTGGCGGCGCTCACATGCGTCACCCACACCCACCCAATTCGGCACACCCCTCACACGTTTCGTGGCCCCATAGGGAGCTCCACCGAAGGCCCCAGCGGCCGCGCTCACATGCGTCCCCGCCACCCATCCCGGCACGCCCCTCACAACAACAGGTTTCGTGGCCCCATGGGGAGCTCCACCGAAGGCCCCAGTGCACCGCCCGCATGCGTCACCACCCGCACCCAATTCGGCACACCCCTCACACGTTTCGTGGCCCCATAGAGAGCTGCACCGAAGGCCCCAGTGGCGGCGCTCACATGCGTCCCCGCCACACATCCCAGTACACCCCTCACGCGCTTCGTGGCCCCATAGGGAGCTCCACCGAAGGCCCCAGTAGCGGCGCTTACATGCGTCTCCGCCGCCCATCCCGCCCCCCCCCCGCAGCAGCATCATGTTTCGGGGACCCATACGGAGCTCCACTGGAGGCCCCAGTGGCGGCCCGTACATGCGTTTCCGCCACCCATGTCGGCACGCCCCGCGCGTGTTTCATGTCGGCACCCAGTGGCCGAATGCCCCAGTGGCACCCATCTCGGCACACCCCTCACACGTTCCGTAGTCCTATGGGGAGTTCCATTGAAGATGAAACCCGCAGCTGCGGTACTGACAACTGCATATGGTTGGGTTCTTCGCCAGGCTAATTTTTCGTTTGTCCTTTCTAGCCTGCGCTCTGGAACGTCTGGGAACAACTGTGAGTGTGGGGGGAGGGGAGGCAGCAGAGTCAAGGGCTCCACTTTTTTGTCCATCTGCGGGGGCATCGCTCTCCCCCTCCAGCTCGGCGGCGCCTCGGCGACGGGGCGCCGGAACAGGCCTCGGGCCACGCCCGCAGTAATCTGCCAGGGGGCGGCGACCGCTCGCTGTCGACTCCGTGAGGGGGTCAGCGAAGAAGGGGAACGGCGAAGAGGAGAAACGAAGAGCGGCCCCACCACCCACCTCGGCTCCTCTTCCCTTCCCTGCTCCTCCCTGTCTCCTTCCTCGCTTTCGCACGAGCGTTTCGTGTAGCTGCGCCTGTGTATTCTACGCCCCGTCGCTGCGCGCGAGGCCGTGACCGCTCATATATATATATATATATATATGTATATACATACATACATACATACATACATACATACATACATACATACATACATACATACATACATACATGCATATATTCCCATTCCTCTTCCTATGTTTTTCCCAACCATCCTGTGGTGTTGGGTCCTCGTTTTGAAGAGACGGTGCCCCGCGTTCTCCTCTCCTCTCCTCTCCTCTCATCTCCTCTCCTCTCCTCTCCTCCTCCCCCTCCTCCCTCCTCCCTCCTCCATTTCGGCACACGCCTCACACGTTTCGTGGCCCCGTAGGGAGCCCCACCGAACGCCCCAGTGCTGCCGCCCGCATGCGTCACCCACACCCACTTCGGCACACCCCTCACACGTTTCGTGGCCCCATAGGGAGCCCCACCGAAGGCCCCAGTGCTGCCGCCCGCATGCGTCACCCACGCCCATCGCGGCACACCCTCACACGTTTCGTGGCCCCATAGGGAGCCCCACCGAAGGCCCCAGTGCTGCCGCCCGCATGCGTCACCCACACCCAATTCGGCACACCCCTCACACGTTTCGTGGCCCCATAGGGAGCCCCACCGAAGGCCCCAGTGCTGCCGCCCGCATGCGTCCCCACACCCATTCGGCACACCCCTCACACGTTTCGTGGCCCCATAGGGAGCCCCACCGAAGGCCCCAGTGCTGCCGCCCGCATGCGTCACCCACACCCAATTCGGCACACCCCTCACACGTTTCGTGGCCCCATAGGGAGCCCCACCGAAGGCCCCAGTGCTGCCGCCCGCATGCGTCACCACACCCATTCGGCACACCCCTCACACGTTTCGTGGCCCCATAGGGAGCCCCACCGAAGGCCCCAGTGCTGCCGCCCGCATGCGTCCCCACACCCAATTCGGCACACCCCTCACACGTTTCGTGGCCCCATAGGGAGCCCCACCGAAGGCCCCAGTGCTGCCGCCCGCATGCGTCCCCACACCCATTCGGCACACCCCTCACACGTTTCGTGGCCCCATAGGGAGCCCCACCGAAGGCCCCAGTGCTGCCGCCCGCATGCGTCACCGCACACCCAATTCGGCACACCCCTCACACGTTTCGTGGCCCCATAGGGAGCCCCACCGAAGGCCCCAGTGCTGCCGCCCGCATGCGTCACCCACACCCAATTCGGCACACCCCTCACACGTTTCGTGGCCCCATAGGGAGCCCCACCGAAGGCCCCAGTGCTGCCGCCCGCATGCGTCACCCACACCCAATTCGGCACACCCCTCACACGTTTCGTGGCCCCATAGGGAGCCCCACCGAAGGCCCCAGTGCTGCCGCCCGCATGCGTCACGCACACCCAATTCGGCACACCCCTCACACGTTTCGTGGCCCCCATTCGTGGCCTATGGGGAGCTCCACCGAAGGCTCCAGTGGGTGTGCCCGCATGCGTCCCGCACACCCATTTCGGCACA